TCAGTACCATAGACCACATACATACCCTGCGGCAGATTGTACAGAAGACCGAAGAGTACAATCTGCCACTTTTCCTGGCGTATGTGGACTATGAGAAAGCCTTTGATTCCGTCGAAATTTGGGCAGTGCTACAGTCCCTTCAGCGGTGCCAAGTTGACTGTCGGTATATCGAAGTGCTGAAGTGTTTGTACAGTAGGGCTACGATGGCTATCCAAGTACAGAACCAGAGTTCGAAACCTATCCAACTGCAGAGAGGTGTAAGACAGGGTGACGTTATATCCCCGAAACTCTTCACCGCTGCGCTGGAAGACGTTTTCAAGCTACTGGACTGGAAAGGAAACGGTATTAACATCAATGGCGAGTACGTCAATCACCTTCGATTTGCCGACGATATAGTCCTTATGGCAGAATCGCTGGAGGACCTTAGCACTATGCTCAATGACCTCAATTGTGTCTCCCTATGGATAGATCTTAAGATGAACATGGACAAAACAAAGATCATGTTTAATGTCCATGTCACACCTATGCCGGTAGTTGTTGGGAGCACTATACTCGTAGTTGTTGATGAGTACGTTTACCTGGGACAAATAGTCTGACTAGGTAAGTCCAACTTCGACCGAGAGGTCAATCGACGGATTCAACTCGGCTGGGCAGCGTTCGGGAAATTACGACACATTTTCTCGTCAGGTATACCTCAATCTCTGAAAACTAAAGTGTACAGCCAGTGCGTGTTGCCAGTGATGACTTACGGATCTGAGACGTGGTCCTTCACTGCTGGCCGTATGAGGATGCTCAAGGTCGCTCAACGGGCTGTGGAGAGTGTTATGCTCGGAGTTTCTCTCCGTGATAGACTCAGAAATGAGGATATCCGCAGTAAAACCAGAGTGACCGACATAGCCCAACGGATTAGTAAGCTGAAGTGGCAATGGGCCGGCCATATAGCTCGAAGAACCGATAACCGATGGGGAAGAAGGTACCGTCCGTACCGGTAGGCGTAGTGTGGGGCGACCCTCCACTAGATGGAGTGACGACCTGGTAAGATATGCAGGAAGTCGATGGATGCAGGTGGCTCAAGACCGTGCTTTGTGGCATTACTTGGAAGAGGCCTATGTTCAGCAGTGGACTTGTGAAGAGCTGTAATGATGATGATGATGATAGTAGGATATACAAACCCCTTTTAAATTCTTAGATTTTTGGAACTTTGGACATAAAAGTTATAACAAGTTTTAATTTTTAAGATTATCTACATAAACCATAGACTAATACATAATATTATGTACTAGTGCTAGTGTTCCAATATTTTTTTATTTAACTGGCTTTACGGCTTTGCGTTCTAGCCCTTCTGAGCCTATCATTTCTTTCGTAATATTCGTTTTTATATTTTTTTTCATCACAATATGCTGATTCGTCACTTTTTGCGTCACAGTTTTTGCGAGATTATATTAACATCAAACCACTTGTTTCGTCGTTTGCTCTAATATTTCACATGCGCAGACAGTTCACAAAATCGTATCACTTTTACGAATCAAAATCTACTTCAAACCATTAATCAAGCAACAAAACAGGAGCGACAATCCGTCGACGGCCAAAACCTCTCCAAGTGTACCTATGTATATCGTTACATATAGGCGAATAAAAATTGTTTTTGTGATAAAGTAAATATTTCATACTCGTTTTCCCTACTCTGTAGTGTTTTACTAACCATTTTTTTTTATAAAATAAGGGTGACAATCGAACAGACAGTCCACCTGATGGTTAGTGGATGCTGTGGCCCATAGGCATCTACATTTATCCTCGATTTAGAATCAAAATTCAGATGCGTTATCACCTCTGAGGACTAGGATCGAATGCCTCGTTTCCATTAAAAAAGGGTCTCCGGATCTCTACCCGGTCGAGCAGACACATTCGTGCTACAACTATATTATAGCTACAGCGTGGTTCTACCATTAAGTAGGTAGATTGAGATGAGGATCGGTATCTACTCAGCGTTGTGAATTAGGAGATACCTATATTCAGCAGCGGACTGCAACAATTTGATAATGATAAAGTTCTGATGGGGTTTTGAGTTATATTATTTAGTAATACCTTATATATTAATTAGTAATACCATCATGGCGTAGCGTCCCACTGTTCTTAAACCTACATTGCAGTTACAACAATAACTTCTGATTGCGTCCCGCCCATTCATGTTTGTTTCTGCAACTATAAATACAAAATAAGTTTGAGCGGAAAAATTGCGGGACCTAATTTTAGCATGAAGCAACATTGGGCTTATTCTCTCTAAACCATCTATTCTCTCTCAGGATACCTCTAGTGTATATATTGTATGAAAGCGGAAATTCTTATATTGGAAAACACAATGCTGATTTTATACAACATTTAATGCATTCTTAGATATAATATAAGTATTTAAAAATATATATATATATATATATATATATTGTTATTTCTATTTCTATATAATTAATTACCATTTCGATATATCTGTTATATTATATATAGCTCTAATCTAATAACATAATTGACTTTAGTTTATGGCTTAGTTGCCTTAATATCTGGTATTAATTCTATAACAAAACAACGAAAAAAAGTATGCGGTACTAAATCTGCCGTTCCCCTTTGAAAGAGGACAATTTTTCAAGCACCTAAGCATCTAAAATATTCATCCAGAACTTTATCATTCACCTTTCTAACAGTAGGTACTTGTATATCTAACTCTGGCAGCAATTGTCAAAATCAATACATGGAGCCCTATCGGTAGCCCATTCGCTCTCATTGCTTGTCTTACTATTATATCTGAAAATCGGACAGTGAAAATGTTAAAAAGCTTATCCTATCTGTGTAGAAGTAAGCCTATATCGACAGGGTTATATAACGATTTGCTTCGGACTGCCCTAAAACCAAGTAAAAAATTGTCAAACGAAATTTAATTTTTTTTCACCGAAATAATTAATATATTTAATTTAATTTCTGAATATGAATCTGCAATTCGACTAATATCGTGCACTACTCCACACAATAATTCATGTGAACCTTTTGAAACACTGATAAGCATTTTTAACAAAACTTGAAATAGTAACGGATAAGTTAATGTTATATAATGTAAGTAGGTAGTATACTAGTATTTTGTCTTTAAAATATTAAATTAAATTAAACACTCTACGATGGACACAGGTGTATTTAATTTTTAATATTGTGTATACCTCTTATGGTCGCCCCACACGGTCAGTTCAACTGATCATTCCAACTAATCAGTTCAAACTAAAACTGTTGATATTTTTTAAATATTGGATTTTCGATATATCGGTAATTATAAATATATCAATATCGAAGTTTTATATATAAGTTTATTTATCGATGTATCGAAAATCCGATATTTTAAAAAATATCAACAGTTTTAGTTTGAATTGATCAGTTGGAATGATCAGTTGAACTGACAGTGGGTGGCGTCCATGACTTATTATATATTATGCTTATTAGGGGTTCAAAACAAAAACATTCAGTAAGCTTTAACTCAACTATAAGTTAAGAATGCGACTAATGATCCAGTAACCGTATAATATATATAGTTCTTAATTTGTTTGAATTCTGTTTAGGTATATTATATTATTGCTCTTAGGATTTAACTGGCTTTAACTAGATGTTTCGGAGGTTCGATTGTTCTCGGTTGAAATGCGGACCAGTAAAGTCTCCAATTAAGAGGATAGAGTAAGTCAGCTCAAATTCTAATTTCGCCCCCACTTCCCCGCGCGTCGTATGCTATGTACCGACATGTTTGTAATCACTAATACTGTAAGTAGAAAGGTCGTTAGACACTTATTTCATTAGGTTTATCATATTTATGCCTGTTTCTTAACGCCAAGCCAGCCGCTTCTTATTTTTATCACGGTTATTTCCCATTTTAATTTTACGTCGTACTGTTGCGTAATGTGTATTCTGATCGTGCGTGCGTATGTCTGAGCGACACAACTTCTCCCTTCAAAAGCCTAAGCGATACTAACGGTGCGACTGGAATCAAGCTCAAGACGCCGATAGTTTTGGTAATGCTGCAATATTTTCGGCATAACGAAGGATCTTGCTAAGCCATTTGACATTATATTTCCCCTTAACAATTAAATAAATATTTACCATTTCCATTACCAGCCTTTTAAAGTCCACTGCTGAACATAGGCCTCCCCCATAGATTGTTTCATAGGGGGGAATTTGCCATAGTTACCACGCTTGGCAAGCGAGTTGGCAACCGCATTCTTTTATTTTTAGTCGTTATTAGGAAGACGCTGCTGCCCATCTCCTGATTTGTCTCCCTTTGCCGCCTCTTACGGCACCCACGGGACGATATGGAGTAGGTAGTGGATATGCATATATCGCCACTAACAAATAAATATGACTGCTGTTAACTTTGTCAAAAATATTAAAGCACCTATTAAATTATATAAGCAACAGTCGGTTAAGGTGCCAGACTTTACTTATTAAGGACAGTCAACAAATCTTACTCTAAAAACATTAAATTCTTAAGCTATTATCTAAGATTTAAGCTAAATGCAGATTCAAATACAGGTTGCCACGATATGCAAATGTGAGTGCTTATTGCTTATTTAAAAAGTAATAAAGTTTAAGAAAAACTAAACTAATCCAAAATTATTCCGTACTCAAACTTGCACCTAGAAGTAGCTTTTTGAATTTGGAGAGGCTATTTGAAAAAATGTCTACGTCCGTTTTTTTCTGGAGTTCATATTGTTGTTGCAGCCTGTTCATGATACATCATAGCTGGGTCTCATCTATTTCTTCAGCGTCAGTAGCCACCTACCATCTGGGAGAATTTTTGGTTGTTACCCAAATTTTATAAAAAATTATGACACGAAATCAACGCAGCATACCATTAAGGCTCCATCTCTTACAAATGAGTAAAACCCTTTCTTAGATTGCACAATATTCTTCAATGAACTCCAGTAAGTGTTTTCAACTTTTTACGTAATGAATAATGATTATTATCTATTCAGATGCGGCTGGTCAGACGGTGTGGGGCGTTATTCTCATCATTGTGTCGATCAGCGGTTTCATATTTACGCCGTTGGATTTCATGCTTTGGGAAAAACTTAAAATGAGGCCAGGTACGTTATGGAAATTTGTTAAGTTTGCTCACTGTACAGTATTATAACTTTGCTCTGGAGCTCTTCAGGCTCTTTTAAAATTATTTATTTTGTAAAAAGGAGCAATAAAAACAATTTATGATGAAAGGCTTCGAGATTCATTGCCGCATAGGTTGCCACAACGTACGGTCCTTTACCTTTAACAACGGGACGGGACCTTAACATACGGAATGTTGAGATAATTTAAAAAGGTTAAATAACGACATTGAGGTATTACTACTACGTACTACTACGTAGTAATACCTCAATGTACGCTAGTAATGTAGTTTGATGAATAAGGAGCGATAAGTCCGCCGCGCTGCTGTAGCACGTATTAGCCACTTCGCGTGTCTTCGAAATATTTTACTTCTTAGTCTTGCTTTAAGGTGGTAAAGCCATGCTGCAGTTATTTTAGTAGTATAGTTGTAGCACGAATAGGTCGGCTCGACCGGGGAAGGACCACGCTCTCACAGAATACCAGTGTCAAATAGTAGCTTAATGCTGCTGCGTTTCGTATGGTGAGTGTAGAGAACAGGAGACCCTTTTTACTGGAAATGAGGTATTCCATCTGAGTCCTCACGGGTGACAACGCATCTGCATTTTGATTCGTAATCGAGGATAGATGTAGATGTCTATGAGCCACAGCAACCAGTTACCATCAAATGGACTGTGTGCTCGTTTGTCACTCTATCCTATAAAAAAAAAGTAAACATCGTGAGGAAATCATCCTCACGATGTTTTCCTTCACCGCTTACCACGTGGTAAATTAGCACTTAAAATAACAATTAACAAGTTCTGGCGGGAATCGAATTCGGCTTGCTCGGGTAGGGGGAGAGGAACGGTGGTAGAGGGAGAGGACACCCCTCTCGCTGCAGGCCACCAGCACACATCTGAAGTGGGCTCGTCAAGTCCCCTCGGAGTGGCCACCCAGCCATGTGGGTTTCTCTTTGTTCACCGCAGACCAAGCCACGGCTACTAAGCCCCCCACCACGACAAGGCAGGAACCCGTCCGGGGGGTTGCTCGGGTACCTAGCTACCATTTTTTTGTTTGGAAGATGAATGCAGAGCCTGAAGGGGATGGTACCTTAAACCATTTAGAACATATTATATATATATATATATATATATATATATATATATGTATGTATATATATACTGTATTAGATGAAGTCTGCTCCTTTTTTCAATTGAATTTCTAATGTTTTTTCACAATAAAACTCCTTTTTTATCATTTGATTGCTAATATTGTCCAGTTACAGTAATGATGTTATTATTTTTTATTTATGTAATCTGTGATTACTTAAACAAAATAATTATTCAAGCATCTTCATCATCAGAACAACATTCTGTGCATTTTTAAGTTTAAGAAAAAAAATTGAGGAAATGTAGGGTTCATGCCATCATAAAAAATTGCCTTTATCGTTCAAACCTTTTTAAAAACATGCGTAGGTATTGCCCTTTGTTTTGAGGTAATCTTTATGCAGTTGTCTCATCACCCTTTGGAATTATGGTGTACAAGGCAAATTACAATAATTTTTAACAAAGCAATTAAACATTTTTAGTTAAAATAATTTATTTTTAGTAAGTATTTAAAATGTTGACCGCGATTTCTGCACAAGCGTGGGCTCGTCTTCTCACTTCTGGTCGTTATTTATGTTTCACATTCACGTCATTTTCATATTTTTTTAGAGATGGGCCGAATATTCGTTTCATATTCGGTATTCAACATATTTGGCAGCTTTACCGATTATTCGGCTAAATCACGGAACATTTGTTAAAGTGTAGTACTCAAAGAGTCCACTGTATTGAAATGTACAAATTGGGTAATGCCATGTCTTTCATAATTTTATTGTTAAAAGTTTATTTTATTTATGGGTTAAATCTACTTGTATAGGGTTATGTTTTTGAGGCACTGTAGATTTATTTCCAATTATAGCAAATAGAAAGCTTGATAAAATTATTTTGGTAGCAAACACTTTAATGTGGTCGTCAGTTTCTCTAAAATACGTCCAAATAGTAGATCTCCTGCCACTGGTTTTTATCATATAATTATCAAATTTCACTAAGAAACACAACAAAATATTTTTTTTCTCTCTAAAATAGTTTAAATATAAGCATGTGCCGGTAATTTTCTCAGTACTAGATGATTCAATAACATCGGTGTGGCGAGGGAGCATAGAGCAGGGTCTTGCGCTAATCCTACGCGCTTTACGTTAACAAGTTTCGACATAAATTGATTATGTACCGAGATAATCCTGCCGAATAATGTTCGGCCGAATATTCGGTTCGGTAAAAGCTTTGAACTGCTATTTTACGCTGGTATTCTGTGAGAGCGTGGTCGTACCCCGGTCGAGCCAACTCATTCGTAATACAACTATAATATAGTTGCAGCGTGGCTCTACCACATAAAAATCTCCTGCTTCATAACTTGAAAAGCCGTATGGATTCTTCCAATGACTCCTCTCTGGTTGATATTTTCGCATGCTTGTTGAGGAGCTCCTTGGCCCGTCCGTTGAGGTTTTGAGCTACTGCTCTGCAATAATGTCTTCCTCGACACCTGAACCATGGCTTCCCAGATTGACTCCAGGTTTCGCGTGATGGATTTCAACTTCAGAAAGCTGACGAAATGTGCTGTAAAACACTGTGACATTTAGTAATCTTCGATTCGGGTTTAACTCTTGGTACATCCGCCGTGCCAAAGATTCATTACCGTGAGCTCTGCTATACATGAAGACGATATCAGCATATTCTTCATTAGTAAAAGCAGTCATAGTTGATTGATCACACAAATAGTCGGAGAAAAGTGAAGAAGCACACAGCAGGGCTTGACTCAATTCAATAAAAAAGAACATCCGAAATAAATACGAATTCGCAATTAAAACGTCTAGTCACAAGGGCAGTCGTTACTTTACTAACTTAGGGTACAAAAAAAAAAAAGAAGATGTGACGAACCTGCCCTACTACTCGAGTCTAACTAGTGTGAACAAATAATAACTTTATGTGATTTATTAAACCGATTGTTCTATTGAACAAAAATCTATTCACTAGATGCTACCTGAGAGTCAAAAAGCTCAATTTTTTTAGATCGCGCGGTGGCTTTTGCTAAGCGAGTTCCCGGAAATTCATCCGTGTACGTGCACCGTAATTCTAAAAACTAATCAGTTCTAACGAAAACATTATTGCATTAGCAAAAATGGTGCGTTATTTTGGACTGTATAAAAATAAAAATGTTCGTCCGCAATTTGCTTTGTACAGCCTAATTCCAAAAGTTGATGTGTCATTTACGTAAATAATACATCAAAAGAAAGGGCAATAACTAAGTATGTTTTTAAAATGGTTTGACTAAAATATAAATAATAAAAGATAACATTTCCTTATTTCTTTTTTTGATTTCCTATACTTAAAAATACGCATAATTTTATTCTGATGATGAAGATGCTTGGAAATTATTTTGTTTAAGTAATCACGCATTACATAAATAAAAAATAATAACATAACAACTGTTACTGTTGTTTTGTTGTTAAAAACTATTAGAAATTCAATTTAAAAAAGGAGCAGACTTCGTCTAAGACAGCTTAATATGTTCTAAATGGTTTAAGGTATCATCCCTTTTAGGCTTTGCACCCATCTTCCAAACATCCTGTATATTAGGAACAGGAAGGAAGGATAAACACGTATGATGTATAATAAAATATATTTGACTCTGGCTTTTGTTTGTTTTAGGTTTTCCACCCTACGAATGGTGGGCAGATCCACCTGATGAGGTGAAAATGCGAGTCCATGTCTTCAATGTTACTAATCATGAACGCTTTCTGAAGGGCTTGGATAAAAAACTAAATTTACAAGAAATTGGTCCTATAGTTTATTTGTAAGTATTATTGTACCGTACTACCATGTTTTGTCTGCGTAAGATAATCCTTTAGTTCATATCGACCGTCCGTATGTTATACCAGCGTAAAATGTCAATTCAATGTTGCTGTTTCGTATGGTGAGTATAAAGAACCGGAGACCCTTTTTACTGGAAACTAGGCATTCTGTATTAGTACTCAAGGGTGGCAGCGCAACTACATTTTAACATTGAGGTATTACTAATAAGTATAGAGAATACAACGCCTTGCATGATTTTGCGCCACGCTTTGCGGTACACTGTACCGCAACTGTTTAGTGAGTGTCCAACGCCCGCACAAACGAGTCGTGTTCGCTTCGCATAAATAACAACTTCAAAATGCCTGGTTGTGTTTTTAAAGACTGGAGTAAACACAACATCAAAAAAGTGATGGTTTAACATTTCATCGGTAAGTAGACATTAAAACTTTCGAAACTCTTTGATTCAAAGTTTTTCGCGTTGTTACAATGCTCACGAGAATCGGGCTGTCGACCGTCGTCGTTTTGCAGTTGTAAAATCTATGGGATAGACTTGTACACTATGTTGAACGATACGCGTAAGCGCCATAAAATTCCTGGCGCTTATGGCGTTTTTTTTTTTTTTTTTTTTTAACAGTGGTAGAGCCACGCGGCAGCTTTGCTGTCGCACGTATGGGCCGGCTCAAACCGGGGTGGTACCACGACCTCACAGAATACCGGCGTGAAGTGGAAGCTCTGCTTCCGCGTTTCGTCTGGTGAGTGCAGGTGGCCGGAGGCCCAAATCCCCCCCCCCATCAACATGGTAGCGGAATTAAATGATAGACTACCCCAGGAGGGTACCAGCACCCCTGGAGAATCCCTCGCTGAGCATCCACGACCATGTTTCTCCACTTCTGAGCGTGGGTGCTCAGGCTGCCCCGCGTATTCTGGGGGGGGCAATATTCCGCTCAAGACTAAAACTGCTCGGGGCAAACGGAGCAGCAAGACCAAGGCGACCCCTGCCACGCTGTCCGTGAATTTCTGCAATATCAGGGGACTTCACTCTAACCTAAACGCCGTCCACTACCATCTCGAGACGGCGAGGCCGGCTCTGCTCTTTCTGACCGAGACGCAGGTGTTCTCTCCGGCTGATGTCTCGTATCTCTCCTGCCCGGGGTACAAACTGGAACACTCCTTTGTGCCTCGGGCTGGAGTTTGCGTTTACGTCAGAGAGGACATCTGTTCTCGACGCCTCGGCAGACTTGAAGGTTCGGACCTGTCCATCCTTTGGCTACGCGTAGACAGCGACGACCATCCGCGCGTCTACGAGTGCCTCTATAGGTCCCATAGCGGTAATGCCGAAACAGACCGACTCTTCGACCACGTCCAAATGGCTGCAGATTCGTTGCTACAGCAGATCCCCTCCGCAGAGATCGTGATCCTCGGCGACTTTAACGCCCATCACGCCGAATGGCTCGGTTCACGTTTAACCGATCATGCGGGGAGATCTGTTCATGATTTTGCCTTGGCATATGGTCTGACACAACTGGTTACTTCGCCTACGCGGATTCCAGATGTGGAGGATCATGCACCTTCCCTGTTGGACCTTCTGCTGACCTCTCACCCGGACGGATATCAGATTTCCGTTGACGCCCCTTTAGGCTCCTCGGACCATTGTCTTGTCCGGAGTGTGGTGCCACTCACGCTGAAATCGCGGTTGCATTCTGCAGGCTGCCGCCGTGTTTGGCACTATAGGTCAGCCGATTGGGATGGGATGCGGTCTTTCTTTGCATCCTACCCTTGGGGGCGGGTTTGCTTCTCGCCGGATGATCCCAACGTTGTTGCGGATTCTGTCGCTGATGTGGTACTTCAGGGTATGGAACTTTTTATTCCTTCCTCTGTGGTGCCCGTTGGAGGCAAATCTCAGCCATGGTTTGGTCGCTCCTGTAAAATAGCATCATGCTATAAGCAGGAGTGCTACCGAGCCTGGGCTGACGCATCAGCGTCCAGGGATGTAAACACCAGCGCTCTAAAAAAGAAGTATAATTCCGCCTCTAGGTCCTTCAAAAGAGTCATTGCCAAGGCAAAGTCAGAGCACATAGGCAGAATTGGCGAGAGACTAGTTCGTCTTCCTTCTGGAACCCGTGCATTCTGGTCTCTCGCCAAGGCTGTCCAAGGGAATTTCTGTCAGCCATCTCTTCCATCTCTGCACAGGGAGGACGACTCACTGGCCCACACCGCAAAGGAGAAAGCCGATCTTCTAGGCTCTTTCTTTGCGTCTAACTCGACTCTCGATGACGGGGGGAGTACGCCGCCGACCATCCCGCGGTGTGAGTGCTCCATGCCGGAAGTGCAGTTCACTCAGCGCTCGGTTCGCAAAGCACTCCTCTCCCTGGACATCCATAAGTCGAGTGGGCCTGATGGAATCCCCCCAATTGTGCTGAGGACGTGTGCTCCAGAGTTGGCACCGGTTTTAACGCGTCTTTTCCGGTACTCCTACTCCCTAGGCGTAGTCCCAAAATCATGGAAGACGGCTTTCGTCCACCCGATCCCTAAAAAAGGCGACCGCTCAGACCCGTCCAACTACCGGCCTATCGCCATCACCTCCTTGTTCTCCAAAACAATGGAGTCCATTGTAAACTGCCAGCTCATGAGGTACCTTGAGGATCACCAGCTGATTAGTGACCGCCAATACGGTTTTCGCCGTGGTAGGTCAGCTGGTGATCTTCTGGTCTACCTAACTCACAGATGGGCGGAGGCAATAGAGTCCAAGGGGGAGGCATTGGCCGTTAGTTTGGACATTGCGAAGGCCTTCGATCGGGTTTGGCACAAAGCGCTTCTTTCGAAGCTCCCTTCCTATGGGCTTCCCGAGAAATTGTGCGATTGGATCACCAGTTTTCTTGCAGATCGGAGCATCAAGGTCGTTGTAGACGGTGCAAGCTCCGATTGCAAGCTTATTAATGCTGGTGTTCCACAGGGCTGCGTGCTATCGCCAACGCTGTTTCTTCTGCATATCAATGATATGTTGCAAACCCGTAGCATTCATTGCTATGCAGATGACAGCACTGGTGATGCTCTTTACACCGGCCGAGCCAATATTTCTCGGGAAAACGTCTCTGAGTGCCGGGACAAACTTGTGTCTGAAGTCGAGTCTCTGCTGGACAGAGTCTCGGATTGGGGGCGACTAAATCTAGTCCAGTTTAACCCCCAGAAGACACAAGTTTGCGCGTTAACCGCTAAAAAGAACCCCTTTGTCGTATCCCCTCAGTTTCAAGGCACTCCCCTTGTTGCCTCAGCCAGTATCGGAATCCTCGGCGTCGACATATCGAGTGACGTGCAGTTTCGTGGTCACTTGGAAGGGAAGGCCAAATTGGCCTCTAAAAAGCTTGGCGTGCTCAGCAGAGCGGGACAGTATTTCATGCCGGCACACCGCCTGCAACTTTACAAGGCGCAGGTTCGGCCGCTCATGGAATACTGTTCCCATCTCTGGGCTGGGGCTCCCCAGTACCAGCTCCTTCCACTTGACCGCATCCAGCGCAGAGCGGCTCGAATCGTTGACGACCGAGTGCTTTCCGATCGGCTCGATTCACTGGCGCTGCGAAGAGATGTTGCATCTCTTTGCGTATTTTATCGCATCTATCACGGGGAATGCTCTGAGGAATTGTTCGGATTAATCCCAGCCGCCAAATTTCGTGAACGCACTACACGGCAAACGTCCCGATACCATCCACACCATCTGGATGCTTGGCGGTCCAGCACTGTACGTTTCAAAAGGAGTTTTCTTCCGCGTACAACCTCTCTGTGGAATAATTTACCACCGGTGATTTTTCCGGACCGATACGACCTGGGGACCTTCAAGAAAAGAGCTTACTCCTTTCTAAAGGGCCGGCAACGCACCTGCAATTCCCCTGGTGTTGCGGTTGATCATGGGCGGCGGTAGTCACTTAACATCAGGTGAGCCACATGCTCGTTTGCCCCCTCTTCTATAAAAAAAAAAAAAAAAAAAAAATATTCTTCGATGCATTTTAATTCTTAATCGGCACAACAGCATCCACTTACTATCAGGTGGACTGTGTGCTCGATTGTTACCCTTATTCTATAAAAAAATATCATCTTGTGGGTTTAGTAAGAAGCGACTGAAACGGCAGAATGGTCGAATGACTTCCAATAGATGGTGCTATAGCCGTCATTCGTTACAGCCTATAAAAAGTCTAGTTATAAACATAGGCTTCCATTTATCTCATATCCTTCCTATGAGGCAAATGTGACAATTGAGAGAATGTGGCATGAATGGAAAATTTGCGCGGAGTGGCGGATTGGCAGCCGCACGTTTTTATCACCTTTTCCTGTTTTCCCTCTGTCACCTCTTTCAACACCCAAGGGATGATGGGGTAGGGGATTCTCTCACGCCGCCACTACACATCTAAGTGAAACATGCTCTATATCAGATGAGAAATATCCATACTGGAGACAGGAGCAGCGTCAATGCCTTGAAACGTTTGGTTTTAAACTTATAACCACCAATTGGTTACTAATATATAGGTTTCTTTCAATTAAAAATAATTTGGTTACTTTTGTTATTGTTTTTCTGTAAAATTATGTTTTACGTAGCGAGCTTACGTGTAAGCTCACTTCGAGACTTTATTATTAGTTTTTATTAGTTATTTATAAAGATGTACGTGTACGAAACTGAGCCATGCTGCTGCTATATTCTGATTGTAGCACGAATGTGTCGGCTCGACTAGGGGAGAACCACGCTCTTACAGAGAACTTAATTCTGCTCTGTTTTGACTGTGAGTGTAGAGAATCGAAGATTCTTTCCTAATGGAAACAAGGCATTTCATATTAGTTCTCATTTGTGACAATGAATAACGCATCTGCATTTTAATTCTTAATCGTGGATAGTGACATGTGCTCGGTTTTCACCCATATTTTATAAAAACGCATTGTTAATCAGAAATAAAGCCATTTCAAATCAAGCCAAGCTAGAGATTCCTATATTTATACCAGCAATATTACAGAGAAATCTGAATTAAAATATTTTTTCATAATCATGATCGAAGCATGAACAGTCTTAACAGAGACAGTGTTGTTGTAAAGTCCATCATCATCATTATTATTATATGCCGTCAATTTATATGACTGCCTCGTTGGTCTAGTGGTTGTAGTAGTGCGACTGCTGATCATGAGGTCCTAGGTTCGAATCCCGGGTCGGGCAATAAAATCAATTATTGAGTTTTTCTGTCAAGAAATTCTCAGTAGCTGTCCGGAGTCAGGAAGTTGGTGATGTCTCACCCCCGTGCCTCGGAAAGCACGTAAAGCCGTTTGTCCTGCGCCTGATCTCTCTCCGGTCGTGTCGGTTTACCGTCCCATCGGATTATGAGAGCGAAGGAATAGAGAGTGCACCTGTGCTTGCACATAAACTTGCGCACTATTATCCTGTCCTGCGCCGATGGCTAGCCTCCGTTGAGGCAGGCCGCCGTGGCCGAAGTTCGGTCTGGAGGACATTATATTATTATTATTATGCCTTCACAGGTTCACTGCTAAACGTTGGATAGCCTGATAGATAGATCACAGTGTGCAATGCATTTAATAGAACCTTAGCTTTAGCGGAGAACAGTCTACAATTGTAAAAAAATTGTGTGTCCCATGATTAAGGCTTTGCGAAAAATTACGCTTATACATGCGAGTCTGTGTACATAATGTGCATTATTCAAAAGATATTCATCTTTACTGCAACGAAAAACACAAACTCGTTGCTGAGACATTGAATTGAAATTGTGGAGACTGAGGGCTTATTGCGTCAATCGCACATGCGTTTTAGGTCAAAACGTTTCGTGGAAGACTTTTTATTATAGTTGGTCATGTTTGGTCAATAAACAATAACAAAAGCAAAGGGCGTGTTTAGTATCAATAAGTCTGATAAGGTCAACTGTACAAGGTACGAATAAATTACAAGTCGTGACGGATTATATTAAAAAATAATGTATATGGTTCCATAAAATTTGCTTTCTCTTAAAGATCGATTTCGACCTCGGTTACCTCCTCCGGATAAAACAAGAAATTGAACAATTAAAACAGTGTTTAAAATGTAATGGAGAATACTTTGAAAAGCAGTGAATATATAACTAACATATAAATTAAGTTAAGCAAAAATAATATGAGTTAAGCAAAACTCTCAGTCTACCCCATATATAAAGCAATGTATTAGTCCTAAATTTGCTATAAAAATCATCTCAAAAATTTAAAAATAAATAGTAATAAGGTTATTTGAATCCTCTGTCGCCTCTACGACACCCACGGGATGATATGGGTTAGTTGATATTCTTACAACGCCACTACAGGAGGTGATCAGCAGCGTCTTCCTAATTAGTCAAACTCAACATAAAAAACTGCGGTTACCGACTCGCTTGCCACGCGTGGCAACTATGGCAAATATCCATCCTATGAGGCAATCTGTGGGAGAATCTCAATTGTTGAGCAACGGACTTTAATAGGCTGTAACGGTAAGGTTATTTAAAATAGAAGACAACTTAGAATGTCAACTAATTAAATAAAAAAAATATAAATAAAAAAGCTGTCATACATCCATGACAGCTTTTCTTCAGAATCCAGAGTAAAGTGTAAGTGAAGTCTGCCAATCTAGGTCCTGTTTCTGTGCATATGCCTACGCTAATTCAAGTTTACATGCATTTGAAAATGTTTTTGCATGCATGTTTTGCACCTAGTTTGAGGTAAATAAGCATTTAAAATTGCAATTAATCATTTACATTGCTGTTGCACATGACATGGGCGTTGCGATAATATTGGTTAATTTATCATGAGAAACTGTATGGAATATATCACATCGCCTGCCTGCGTGCTCTTCGCCGTGTATTGAACGAAATGGTAAGGATGTTTAAGTAATAAACAATAAGTTATTTTTTTAAATAACCTACAACAGAAGGATTTCCTTTCATTTACATTCCTGCCAAGGCAAACTTTTTATATGTAATTAAAAAAAAGACTTAATTACTTTGTATTTCAAGGTTGATTTGTAGTGCTTATATTGAACTAAAATTACCTTGAATCGTAAATAGGTTTAACATTTGTAAATTGCAATTTTCTATGTTCCTTTTTTACCCATCGTAATTCTCAACAGACGACACTAATCTCATACTTATCTTATACTCTCTTCTCTATTATCTTCTTTGTTCGAAGTTGGCAAATAACCCTGTGCTGCAACAGCCACTTACTAGCAGGTGAACTGTAAGTTTGTTTGTAACCTTAATACTACTGTAATCATATAGCTAAGCTAAAGGTTAATAGTAAAGCCTCTTAACTTCGTTGTAGGTTTGAATTCAACGTATAGCAATTTGAATTGCGTTCTTCTTTAATGAAATCGCCCATGAAACATTTAATTCCTTATTAAAATTAGTTGACTCAAGATCATTAGCTTTTTAGCTTAGTATACTAGACATCATCAACATAAACAGCTTTTTCATGCGTGAAGCGGCTTACGCTGCCGCATGTATTCAATATATGTATATGTTTCGTATGATAAATTTAGAGAACAGGGTCTCCCTTTTGACTAGTAATGAGGTATTCTAAGTCCTAAGATGCGACAACGCATCTATATTTTAACTCTACTTATTACACATAAATTGTTGTTTTATGCGAGATTCGAACCGCGGCCTGTATCGCCGCAGCCAAACGCTACGCGGTAACGCATGGTATGGACACATCCGGACAAAACCATTCTCCAATAACTATACAAGGAATCCAGTTCTCCTATTTTGATACCAATTAAAATCGTCACCGATCTTAACATTCTATTTCAGAGAGAAACTCCAACACTCCAGTATCAGATTTAACGAAAACAATACGCTGACGTACACGGCCAAAAGATCACTAATCTATTTGCCTGATGAGAATGTCCACGATTTGAATTCCACCATCATCCTTCCTAATATAGCTGTCTTGGTAAGTAATTGGCACTGTTACATATATGTGAGTATATTTATCATAAACATCAAAATAAATTAACATCTAAATAATCCAATTTGCTTGATGCTCTTGCTGTGAGGAAATAAAATAAGACTTTGGTAGTTATAGAACAATTATTAGTGCATTTACTTATGAAAATTTATATTTTGACTATGATTTTGTAAATCATTATGTGACTTTGTTTTCGTACTTAATCTTTTGACATTTATTTTATTATTAAATCGACATTTTTATCATAAATTGTAAAAAATTGTGTAATAAATATTTGCACGTCTGGATTAGGCAGAATGTAATGGAATTTATTTGTTTTAATAATAATTTTGTAACACCTAGATTCTACGCAAATAAATAATTATGAATGAATTATAAGTTTCGAAATAGATCCAGTAAAAATCCACTGCTGAACGTGGGCCTCTACCGTAAAATACGGTCACAGTTAGGGTTGCCACCTTATTTTTGAGTAAATAAAGTAAACTAACTTATATACTTTATTTACGAGTTATATACCTAGAGTCAAAAATATTTTATCTGTAGGTATATAACTCGTTTTTATAGTAAACATACTCCACTTTTTTGGTCTAATAAAGTGTAAAGTATTTTTGCCCAAAGTAACGTACAATACTTCATTATAAAATACTGGTGGCAACCCTAGTCACAGTACCAGTCCTCTTGTATTGTTGTCGGTATTCCCCGTATTCGGAAGTCATAAGATTGTTTGGCACTTCCCACTTCCGCCGCATAAGAAACCAACGAGACGAAATGGGGTTCTCTTACATCACCTCTACACGGTACATAATATATTGACTAGAGTATTAATTAAATTATATTATACATCATACCTGTCCTGTTGGTCAACTGGTCGTAAATGCTATTGATCATGAGGCCCCGGGTTCGTTCAAAATCAGTTATTGAGTCAAGAAATTCTTAGGAATTTGGCGGTGTTCTACCCTCGAAAACACGAAAAGGTTATGCGCCTGATGTCTCTCTAGTCGTGCCGGATTAATTTCCCATCGGACTATGAGAGTGAGGACATAAGTAGAGAGTGCACTCGCACATGCACTTGGGTCCTATAATTTGTTCCTCGTAGGTGACTAGCAGTCTTTTTTTAAATATGTTATGTCTTCTTTAAAGGACGATGTTCTATAACGGTCGAAAAAAAATACATCCTAGTTTTTACAGAAAAAGGCGCACTAACACATTATTTATAATAAATTCAATGTTTATTTTTAAAGGTAAAAGATATTTACTGATAAATCTCAATGTATATTTATCAGAAAATATCTCAGTATCTATACATAGTAATTGAGAAAACTAATTATTTCTATAAGACCTAGAATCTAGAGGTTAAAACCTGCTCCAATGACCTACTTGTGCAGAAATGTAGCACAGTTAATATCTGTAACATTTTCCGAGTAAAATTAATACTGATACATTTTATTGACATCTTTCCCGTATGCGCTAAAGAATATAAATTATTGAAATCGGTAAATATATTTAAGTATTTTGTATGTAGAAATCGGAAATCGTACTTCCAAAGCAACTTCGATAAACAAACGTTGTGAAAGCCTGGGACCGTGGTATGCTTAGAATCGTTAGTTCAACCTCTGCTCTAAGTCAGGGCCAGGGCAACAAAATTATTTTACATAAGAGTGTTAATAATAGGAATCTGTAAAAATTACTAGTAAGCCAGTGGCGATGGATAATTTATTGCTTCGCGCCATGATATAATGTGATTAAAAAAACGTCGTAATTGTTAATAGCAAATAATGGTTTTTGGTAAATTCCCATTTCCAGATGGAACCAAACCACTTAGAGGCACCAAAGTAGCCAAAGTACCTGGCTACTGATACGCCAAGTTCGAATTTCAATCGTCGAACATTTGTGCAATAACACAAATTGTTGGCTTTTGGTCTAAGCAAATCCTCCCTACACAGGGAGAGTCCCATATGTAGCAGTGTATTACAGGCTAATAAAGATACAATCCAACATATAACACAAATGAAATACAAAGAAAAGTGCTTTGTCACCTCTGGGTATTAAAATGCAATATCTCGTTACCAGTAAAAAAGGCTTCCGGTTCTCAATATCAAAAGTACGAAACAATATAGTTATCCTGTTATAGGATAGGATATATAATATGTATATCGCATCAACGTCAAAATGTAGCAAAGGAACCAGCAGACTTAGCTGTTAATGTTGTAATTAAGTTATATGTGTATATATACGTATCTGCAGCAGGAATGGGTCGGGGAAGGACCATGCCCTCACAGAATATCAGCGTGAAAAAGCTACTTTTTTATAGGATAGGATTACAAACGAGTATACAGTCCACCTGATGGTTGCTGTGGTCCATAGACATCTACATATATCCTCGATTACGGATCAAAATGCAGATGCGTTGTCACCCGTGAGTAATGAGATGGAGTGCCTCATTTCCAGTAAAAAGGGTATCCGGTTCTCTACACTCACCATACGAAACACAACAGCATTAAGCTACTATTTTAGCTAAATGCCGCTGTTTCATATGGTGCGTGTAGAGAATCGGAGGCTCTTACTGAAAACGAGGCATTCCTTCTTAGTCCCAGGGGTGACAACGCTTCAGCATTTTTATTCTTATCGAGAATAAAACAGTGAACAGTGGTAGAGCCACGCGGCAGCTTTACTGTCGCACGTATGGGCCGGCTCAAACCGGGGTGGTACCACGACCTCACAGAATACCGGCGTGAAGTGGAAGCTCTGCTTCCGCGTTTCGTCTGGTGAGTGCAGGTGGCCGGAGGCCCAAATCCCCCCCCCCCATCAACATGGTAGCGGAATTCAATGATAGACTACCCCAGGAGGGTACCAGCACCCCTGGAGAATCCCTCGCTGAGCATCCACGACCATGTTTTTCCACTTCTGAGCGTGGGTGCTCAGGCTGCCCCGCGTATTCTGGGGGGGGGGCAAAATTCCGCTCAAGACTAAAACTGCTCGGGGCAAACGGAGCAACAAGACCAAGGCGACCCCTGCCACGCTGTCCGTGAATTTCTGCAATATCAGGGGACTTCACTCCAACCTAAACGCCGTCCACTACCATCTCGAGACGGCGAGGCCGGCTCTGCTCTTTCTGACCGAGACGCAGGTGTCCTCTCCGGCTGATGTCTCGTATCTCTCCTGCCCGGGGTACAAACTGGAACACTCCTTTGTGCCTCGGGCTGGAGTTTGCGTTTACGTCAGAGAGGACATCTGTTCTCGACGCCTCGGCAGACTTGAAGGTTCGGACCTGTCCATCCTTTGGCTACGCGTAGACAGCGACGACCATCCGCGCGTCTACGGGTGCCTCTATAGGTCCCACAGCGGTAATGCCGAAACAGACCGACTCTTCGACCACGTCCAAATGGCTGCAGATTCGTTGCTACAGCAGATCCCCTCCGCAGAGATCGTGATCCTCGGCGACTTTAACGCCCATTACGCCAAATGGCTCGGTTCACGTTTAACCGATCATGCGGGGAGATCTGTTCATGATTTTGCCTTGGCATATGGTCTGACACAACTGGTTATTTCGCCTACGCGGATTCCAGATGTGGAGGATCATGCACCTTCCCTGTTGGACCTTCTGCTGACCTCTCACCCGGACGGATATCAGATTTCCGTCGACGCCCCTTTAGGCTCCTCGGACCATTGTCTTGTCCGGAGTGTGGTGCCACTCACGCTGAAATCGCGGTTGCATTCTGCAGGCTGCCGCCGTGTTTGGCACTATAGGTCAGCCGATTGGGATGGGATGCGGTCTTTCTTTGCATCCTACCCTTGGGGGCGGGTTTGCTTCTCGCCGGACGATCCCAACGTTGTTGCGGATTCTGTCGCTGATGTGGTACTTCAGGGTATGGAACTTTTTATTCCTTCCTCTGTGGTGCCCATTGGAGGCAAATCTCAGCCATGGTTTGGTCGCTCCTGTAAAATAGCATCATGCTATAAGCAGGAGTGCTACCAGGCCTGGGCTGACGCATCAGCGTCCAGGGATGTAAACACCAGCGCTCTAAAAAATAAGTATAATTCCGCCTCTAGGTCCTTCAAAAGAGTCATTGCCAAGGCAAAGTCAGAGCACATAGGCAGAATTGGCGAGAAACTAGTTCGTCTTCCTTCTGGAACCCGTACATTCTGGTCTCTCGCCAAGGCTGTCCAGGGGAATTTCTGTCAGCCATCTCTTCCATCTCTGCACAGGGAGGACGACTCACTGCCCCACACCGCAAAGGAGAAAGCCGATCTTCTAGGCTCTTTTTTTTGCGTCTAACTCGACTCTCGATGACGGGGGGAGTACGCCGCCGACCATCCCGCGGTGTGAGTGCTCCATGCCGGAAGTGCAGTTCACTCAGCGCTCGGTTCGCAAAGCACTCCTCTCCCTGGACATCCACAAGTCGAGTGGGCCTGACGGAATCCCCCCAATTGTGCTGAGGACGTGTGCTCCAGAGTTGGCACCGGTTTTAACGCGTTTTTTCCGGTACTCCTACTCCCTAGGCGTAGTCCCAAAATCATGGAAGACGGCTTTCGTCCACCCGATCCCTAAAAAAGGCGACCGCTCAGACCCGTCCAACTACCGGCCTATCGCCATCACCTCCTTGTTCTCCAAAACAATGGAGTCCATTGTAAACAGCCAGCTCATGAGGTACCTTGAGGATCACCAGCTGATTAGTGACCGCCAATACGGTTTTCGCCGTGGTAGGTCAGCTGGTGATCTTCTGGTCTACCTAACTCACAGATGGGCGGAGGCAGTAGAGTCCAAGGGGGAGGCATTGGCCGTTAGTTTGGACATTGCGAAGGCCTTCGATCGGGTTTGGCACAAAGCGCTTCTTTCGAAGCTCCCTTCCTATGGGCTTCCCGAGAAATTGTGCGATTGGATCACCAGTTTTCTTGCAGATCGGAGCATCAAGGTCGTTGTAGACGGTGCAAGCTCCGATTGCAAGCCTATTAATGCTGGTGTTCCACAGGGCTGCGTGCTATCGCCAACGCTGTTTCTTCTGCATATCAATGATATGTTGCAGACCCGTAACATTCATTGCTATGCAGATGACAGCACTGGTGATGCTCTTTACACCGGCCGAGCCAATATTTCTCGGGAAAACGTCTCCGAGTGCCGGGACAAACTTGTGTCTGAAGTCGAGTCTCTGCTGGACAGAGTCTCGGATTGGGGGCGACTAAATCTAGTCCAGTTTAACCCCCAGAAGACACAAGTTTGCGCGTTAACCGCTAAAAAGAACCCCTTTGTCGTATCCCCTCAGTTTCAAGGCACTCCCCTTGTTGCCTCAGCCAGTATCGGAATCCTCGGCGTCGACATATCGAGTGACGTGCAGTTTCGTGGTCACTTGGAAGGGAAGGCCAAATTGGCCTCTAAAAAGCTTGGCGAGCTCAGCAGAGCGGGACAGTATTTCATGCCGGCACACCGCCTGCAACTTTACAAGGCGCAGGTTCGGCCGCACATGGAATACTGTTCCCATCTCTGGGCTGGGGCTCCCCAGTACCAGCTCCTTCCACTTGACCACATCCAGCGCAGAGCGGCTTGAATCGTCGACGACCGAGTGCTTTCCGATCGGCTCGATTCTCTGGCACTGCGAAGAGATGTTGCATCCCTTTGCATTTTCTTTCGCATATACCATGGAGAGTGCTCTGAGGAATTGTTCGGATTAATCCCAGCCGCCAAATTTCGTGAACGCACTACGCGGCAAACGTCCCGATACCATCCACACCATCTGGATGCTTGGCGGTCCACCACTGTACGTTTCAAAAGGAGTTTTCTTCCGCGTACAACCTCTCTGTGGAATAATTTACCACCAGCGATTTTTCCGGACCGATACGATACGACCTGGGGACCTTCAAGAAAAGAGCTTACTCCTTTCTAAAGGGCCGGCAACGCATCTGCAATTCCCCTGGTGTTGCAGTTGATCATGGGCGGCGGTAGTCACTTAACATCAGGTGAGCCACATGCTCGTTTGCCCCCTCTTCTATAAAAAAAAATGTAAATTGCTACGAACTACAGCACATTCACTTACTATTGGATGAACTGTATACTCGTTTCTCACAGACCACCTGATCGCAAGTGGCCATTGCGGCTCACTTAAAGTAAGGGAGGCTTTAGATGCGTTGTCACCTTTAAGTATTAATGTGAAGTGCCTCACAATGTGTAATTATACTGACTCTCTTTAGGTACCCTTTAGAGAGGAATACAGCAGTGCAGCCAGGTAGGGTTGTAGTCAAGCACTGGGTTAAAATAATATTAAATAAAAAAATTTAAAACCCCCGAAACAAGCTGATGATCTTTAAACGGTGGAAAAGATTTTCTTGAATCATAGCTAAGAAAACTCTCGATCAAGTCACTTTTCAAACAAAAATATTTGTCTAAATTGATTCATCATCCGCCTTTTAACTAGGCTGCACACTAAAAGTATCGGGAATGGAATATTTCTACTGTTCCTGTCATATTAAAATCTTTTTAATTGATTGCTTGGTTTTAAAAATCGAATACCATTTATTTATTTAAAAAAATATTCTCGGTTTTGTCAAACTTATTTAGTCGTTGAGAAAATGGAATTGACTCCAGAAAATTGAAGAGCGATGATTTATTATGACCATAGATTACTGACTAATTATGACTTTCGAAGTGGTTTAACACAAAAACAGTGTGTTGACCGGATGATTTCTGCATTTGGCGATGAAGTCCCATCCAAAACCACAATTTATCGCTGGTTTGCTGAATTTCAACGTGGACGTGTCAAGCTCAGTGATGATCCCCGTCAAGGTCGTCCAAAAACTGCAGTCACCCAAGAAAACATTGATGCTGTGCGTAAGCTGATTGAGGAAGATCGACATGTGACATACCGCGAAATTCAGGCAACTTTAGGCATTGGCATGAGTCAAACATAAATAATCTTGCATGAACAATTAGGTCTAAAAAGTTGTTTTCCCGATGGTTACCGCATTCGCTCTGTGAAGAGCAAAAAGCGGCTCGCGTTACTTGGTGCGTCAGAACTCTCGAAAGATTCCACGCAGGATCCTCAAATGCTGTATACAACATCGTATCAGGTGACGAATCCTGGATATACGCGTACGAACCCGAAACAAAAAACGAGTCACGAGTTTGGGTGTTCAAAAATGAGTTAAAGCCAACAAAAATTGTTCGTTCACGGAGTGTTGCAAAAAAAATGGTGGCCACGTTTATCTCCAAAACCGGCCACGTTACGACTATTCCTCTTGAGGGACAAAGAACGGTTCATGCAGAATGGTATGCTAGTATTTGTTTGCCACAGGTCGTTTCTGAACTCCGTAAAGAGAACTGCAACCGCCGCATCATCCTCCATCACGACAATGCGAGTTCTCACACCGCACACAGAACAAAAGAGTTTTTAGAGCAAGAAATCATAGAATTATTAGACCATCCACCGTACAGCCCCGACCTAATCCCTAATGATTTCTATACTTTCCCTAAAATAAAGAATAAATTGCGTGGACAGAGATTTTCATCACCTGAAGAAGCTGTGGACGCCTACAACGGCCATTTTGGAGACCCCAACTGCCGAATGGAATGGTTGCTTCAATGATTGGTTCCATCGTATGGAAAAATGTGACAAACTTCGCGGAGAATATACTTCGAAAAGCAATAAATACATTTTTAAATAGTAATGTTGTGTCACTTCCTTGATTCCCGAAATTTTCATTGCCGCCCTCGTAGCTTATGATGTCATATACAGACACAGATATGCGGACACGGATATACACGTTAAATATGTAACACTCCTCTGTTGTGCTTTTTGTGCTCATTGGCCACAGTTACCACGTACCATCAGGTGCACTGTGTGCTCATTGGGTGACACCCTATAAAAAAACAGGTCATAACATCCGGTTATATTTTGACTATGCCGTAGTTGCTATTTACCAAGACAACATAACTAATGGTACTGATAGATAAAAACATATTTTACTTATATTTTGCAGGGCATGGCATCTTACCTACATGACTCCAACTACTTCGTGCGGACAGCTTTTAGACTTTTAGTTAATACTCATGGGAGTGAGTTCTTCGTCAAGAAGACGTTGTATGAGTATTTGTGGGACTATAGAGATCCTGTATTGGCAACTTCCCGAAACATAGTCCCTAGCATAGTTCCCGTGGATAACATGGGATTTTTTGATAAGAGTAAGTTTTTTAGAATATCACATTTTTAATTAAAAATATTTATTGCACATAAAGTGTACAACTGGCGAACTTAATGCCTTTTAGGCATTCTCTACCAGTCAACCATGAGCTAAGCAAAGAAATTTAAGCAGGTGCCATAAAAACATGAGGTGATCTATAAATAAATAAATAATAAAATAAAAATAAAAAGCCTTTTATTCCATGCTAAATAAGTTTTACAATATAACTTTTTTACAATGTAATTTGCATTTTATAAAGGAAATTGAAAATATAAATTTAGATTTTAATACATTCATTTATTCTAATTTTTTTATATTTTTTATTATTTTTTTATTTTAATACATTATTTTATTTCTATATTGTTGAATGAATTTGATTGAGTTAATTAATGTCGTAATTTTGAGTATGATAATTATTTTTCATAAATATTTGGTTAAAATTTGAATACATATCGCATACCGCATTATATTTTAGTAACATTAATATTTCCAATCAATGTAATTGATTTATAAATTTTAAGTGATTATTTTAAATGGCTTTGGTTTTTTATAAAATTATGAATAGGATAAAATTAATTTACATTAGTTGCAAATTGACAATTTTTTTAATTTACAATTTATTAAGGATTTATATACTCATTTGTGTTTGTTTGCTTTGCATCGACCCCCCCTTAGGTGAAGGCCTCCTCCAAAGATTTCCATTTGTCTCTGTTTTCTCGACGATTTAAGGTGTCTTCTTTTGGAGGGTGGTGGTCATAATCTTCCACGGTGACCAGCCGGGTTGGAAGATATTTTATATTGCTTAATTGGACTTGTATTTTTTTTATAAAATCTGTAGTAGAGAGGGGTGCTAGTTGCTATGTATTTTTATCTTTGTTGTCATAATTTGTTTTTGGTATAGTTGCTGATTTTGTGTTGGTATTATTATTAACTAAATAGTTCAGCACGCCAGGTTTCAAAACTCCTTCAGAAATACTATTGGATCTTGGAGTTGATGAGTGCAATTTCAAAGTTTTGTGTTTCTTACTGGCTTCCATGTTTTAGTGTCCTTGTGAATGGAGAAAGTTTTCAGGTGAGGTAGACAATGTTCTTTTATTGTTGTTTTTTAATATAATTAGTTTGTCGTATTTCATGATTGCATTATTTCCCTTTTCTCTCTCTATGTTTAGTTGTTGTAATTCTTTTCTAATCTTCTTTCATATAATATTGAGTGTCATTTAGTGTCCCTTTTTGTTTAAAAATTTTGATCTTCAGGCCAAGAGTTGTAAATGTTACTACTATTGGCCGAGGTCTGTCTCCTTTTTTTCTATTCTCTTCATTTCTTGGATATCTCTACTATCTAATTTAATAGAGAAATGTTCCTCTATTATCTTGGTAAAGTTGTTCACTAAGTTTTTATACGATGATTCTTTCTCTAAGATACCAAAAAATACGATGTTTCTTTGTCTTGCCTGCTTTTCCAAGAAGTACAGTCTTAGTACAGTCTTTTCTCTTGGTTTACAACTCTTTCTTCCAATCTAGAGAAGAGCTATACGTGAATATAAATATAAAAACATATAAACTATGAAAATACACTTATAAATATAAGTAACTACACTAACCTAAATAATATAATCTATTCGTATATTTGCATATGCAATTTTTAAATAATACATAATACACACATTCTAAACATACTTAAATATACTTACTTACTTATCTTCACGCACAATCCCTAACGGGGTAGCCAGAGAGAACAGATCGCCAAGTGTCACGATCCTTACATACCTCTTTCGCTTCTTTCAGGTTCATTAACTTCTTCATACATGCACGTCTAGGTATCCGAGTACTCTTGACCCTCCGCTCTTCGAGCAATTTGCTCACATGGTCTTCGAAAGTTAGTCTCGGTCTGCCTCGACACCTTTTAATATTTACTTTCGCTCTATATATTTTCTTCACCATTCGGTCTTCACTCATTCGTTCAACGTGCCCAAACCATTGGAGTACGCCCCTATCAATTTTTGTGATAAGGTCATCTTTCAATCCTGCCATATTGCGAATCTCTTCGTTTCGCTTTCGGTCGGCTATGGTAACGCCACACATTTTACGAAGAGATCGCATCTCCACTGCATTCAACTTGCTTTTATGCTTCTTCGGGCATACCCATACTTAAATATGAGCATATTATACAAATTCAACTTAAAAAAATTATAATATCCAGACATAAATAAGCAGAAATATTTAAGAAAGTGGGCTCCTGGAAGAAGAATGGCAACGATCAGACACTATCTTCTTAAAGGCAGCAACAAAAGTCGATTTCCTAACATGAGGAGGTAATTAATTCCAAAGCTTTATGGCATCAGCGATAAAAGACTGAGACATAAATTTGTTTCGGCAAGAAAAACACACACAAGGTAGTTCCCTCGGAGGATCGAAGGTTACGATCGTTAGAAAAACCAAATACTGAATCGTGCATTTTATTTTGGACTACATGGATCGTAAAGGATTGAAAATAGCGTGCAAAGAATTCTAATGCATCTACGCTAAAGGATAGGATGGCATTTAAGCTTGGAACGATATAAGGATACATGGGTGTATTTACGAAGACCGAAAATAAAACAATAAAAATACATACATACAAATAAAACAATAATAAAATAATAATCAATAACCGGTAAAATAAGTATTCCCACAAACATTGTCTTAGTCGAGGTTGGAAGGAAGTTCTTGAAACGATAAAGATTGTCACTCTCCGGCTTATTTCAGCGACTTGAGATTGCTTGCTTGAACTTTTAAATTAGCATCGATCATTAACCAAAAATCTTTAACTATACGAGTAAGCGAGCTATGGAGAGAGCTATGCTCGGAGTTTCTTTGCGTGATAAACTTAAAAATGAGGATATCCTCAGTAGAACCAGAGTGACCGACATAGCCCAACGGATTAGTAAGCTGAAGTGGCAATGGGCCGGCCATATAGCTCGAAGAACCGATAACCGATGGGGAAGAAAGGTTCTCGAGTGGCAGCCTCGTACCGGTAGGCGTAGTGTAGGGCGACCCCCCACTAGATGGAGTGACGACCTGGTAAGACATGCAGGAAGTCGATGGATGCAGGTGGCTCAGGACCGTGCTTTGTGGCATACCTTGGGGGAGGCCTATGTTCAGCAGTGGACTTGTAAAGGGCTGTAATGATGATGATGATGATGATATGAGTAAGAGGATAATTTGTGTTATTCTAAACAATAGGCTCCAGTGAATTAAAATCTAGTTTAGCTAGACGACAAGGGCTACCGAGATTTATAGCTTGACATTTAGCAGGATTGACAGCAAATTCTTGGATTCTTAATCGAGGTTAAATGTAAATGTCTATGGGTCACAGCATCCACTTACCATCAGGTGGACTGTGTGCTTGTTTGTGACCCTCATTCTATATAAAAAACAGAATAATCAGAGGACTGTTGATTGATGTTAATTATTTGCTGGCGACCACGAAGATAACATGATAAACTGTACAGAAAGCATTAGAGAAGTCATTTAATTCGAGAACTACTAATTTCGGCTTCGTCATGTCTCGTACGTAATTGAGAATTTTAGAGATGGTTGTGGTTGTTCTATTTCCAGGATGAAACCAGATTATAAGGGACTAAGAAGTCTATTATTGTATATATAGCTGGATAACTGTATGTGTGCAGCTCGTTCTAAAATCTTTGAAAGAAAGGGAAGTATAAGTTAAATTGGTTCAAAAATGATTAACAGAACTGTGGTTATTTAACTTGGGAAGAGGAAAGACGAAAGCTTTACGCCAAAAGGATGGAAAACCCCCAATAGAAAGAGGAAAAATGATAATGTGGGTAATGACTGGGAGAATGTTATCAAGTATGGCAATAATCATTCTACTCACATTTTCATAACCAGCTGCTTTCGATTTAATAGAGAAAATAATTTTACGAACATATTCATCAGTTATTGGAGTAAAAGCAAAGCAGCAACAGGTGCGGTGACCGGGCGATTTGACTCTATTGGTGATGAATAAATAACTATATCGCGAGAGACCAGAAGCTGTAAACTGCCCACCTTAACTGAAGGCGGAGAATAAACAACTTCCAGAATAATTTTGTTTCCATTTAGGATAACTTCTACAAATCGATGCAATAACTTTATAAGGGACTCTACAGCGCAGCTAGATCGCCACTACAGTTTCCTAATCTATTGATTAGTAATAGCACAAACCCGGATAAGCTGAAAAAAGTCAAGAGTAGAGAAGATTTGAGCTAGGTTTAAGAAATTAAAATATCAGTAAAATAGTATCGTATCTAATCAGTAAAAGTATGCAAAAGTTCAGAGAAATGCTGTGGTGAGCTCTGCGCATTGATGTAACAAACATTTAAATGTATATAGGAATTGGTAAGTTGTTGAGCATAAAAGTGTTTAGGCTAACTGATTCTACAATCGAGTGGTCAATGAATTTGAATAATAAATCTGAGTCAGCAGACAAGTGAAAGGAACCATCGTTAGATATGATAATACATTACATAACATAACATTAGGGGTAGGCAGACACTACAGACTTCCATTTGGAACGATCCTGACACACCTCCCTCGCCACCTACACACCCATATACCTACGTATATATGCTCGTCGGTTAAGGGTACTCCCAATTTGGCCCATTTTCAATATATCGCCAATGTGGTCAATAAAGTTTCGCCTACGTTGTCCCTTTCAGACTCTACCGTTCACTTTTGCAACATAAATTTGCTTCGTCACTCTTTCCTCATTCATTCTTTCCACATGACCAAACCACCGAAGCATTCCCTTCTTAATCCTGGTCACAGCATCACTGTTCAAACCACACTCTTCTCTTATCACACAATTTCTCACCCTGTTACTTAGATTCAGCCCTTACATACTCCTTAACGACCGCATTTCTACTGCATTTATTCTACTCTCGTGCTTCTTCTGCCACACCCAACTTTTACTACCATACGTTGAGGTAGGGACCAACACAGCATTGTGAATTGCCATACGTGCCTTTTTTATACATTCTGAATTTCCACAATAGAGTGTAGGGTTTTACTCTATTTCCTGCATTCACTCGTCGTTCTTTAAATGGTTAAAGATATTTTATTCTCAAAAGAAATATACATTTCACTTAATGAGAAGTTATCAGTCTTTTAGAATACAAGTTAATAAAGTGGATAGTAAGTAAGGTATTTTTTATCGTTACCGATTAACGCTGATTAGCGGTCAACAATAGATTAGGAAACTGTAGTGGTGATCTAGCTGCACAGTAGAGTCCCTTATAAAGTTATTGCATCGATTTGTAGAAGTTATCCTAAACGGAAACAAAATTATTCTTGAAGTTGTTTATTCTCCGCCTTCAGTTAACTAACGTATCGTGGGGTCTACTGAACATGTTGTAAATCATGGGCAGTTTACAGCTTCGGCTAACACCGCACCTATTCTGCGCCTACGTAGCTTTGCGACTCTAAACATGTAGTTGTTGAAATAGAACGCCTATTTAATTGATTAGTCAAATATTTTTAATACTTCTGATGCAAATCATGTGGTAGAGACACTGACTAATAATATTCTTCATTTATACGAAGCAATAGATCCGATACGTAATGCGCCCCATCACCGTGGACAGTGATATTCGTAAGCACTGGCAAAAAATTAATCGTAAGAACGTATCAATTAATAGTACCATCAAGGATAACGTAGAATTTTTAATAAATATCATCATCATCATTTTTGCAGCCTTTTACAAGTCCACTGCTGAACATAGGCATCCCTCAAGTAACGCCACAAAGAACAGTCTTGAGCCACCTGTAACCATCGACTGTCTGCATATCTTATTAGGTCGTCACTGCATCTAGTGAGGTATATCCATCTATCCATCCATTACGACAAGTCTACCAGTGAAAATAAGCCACTCCCATAGATTGTCTCATCCTCAGGAACCATCCCTGGTTTTGCCACGCTTGGCAGGCAGGTTGGCAACCACAGTTTCAGTGGACGTCATTCCATCCAAATTAACTAAATTAAATGATTATTTGCGAATGTCGAAATCGAAACTTCTTTTCTCTTGTGATTGACGTCGTTATACAGTGCCAAACTTGAGAGAAATCTATCTCTGCGACTGTCAATCGCTGATGACAGGAATTTCTTCCAACTATAAGACGAGGTCTTTGAAGAAGAGGTGTTTATGGAACAACCTATCTAATAGTTTATACATAGTTTTCTTTATTTAATCCCGACGAACTGAGGATTAAGAAGGAATTGTTGAAGGATTCCGCCATGTTGGTGTGGGCTAGTAGTTTAGATCATTATAGATTATCACAAGTTTGTTGTCAAGCATGAGCAAAGACTGTCGCTTTTTTTACGGAAGAGGGGGCAAACGAAAATGCAGCTCACCTGTTGGTAAGCGTCGACCGCCGCCCATGAACATCTGCAACATTAAGGAATGCAGGAACATTAAGGAATGCATGAATTGCATGTGCGTTGCCAGACTTTTACAACGGAGTAAACTTGTTTCTTGAAAGTTACTAAGTCGTATCGGTCCGAAAAATTTCCGGTGGAGAACAATTCCATAAAGTCGTGCGAGGAAGAAAACTTTTGGTAAACCAGATGGAAATTGATGGTAACGTAAGTTTTGTCGCAATCTGCGTTGGTGAAATTCGGCGGCTGAAATTAATCCGAACAATTGCTCTGAGCACTTCCCGTGATACATTGTTTTTAACCATGTTACGTGCTCTACTTACCAGTACGTAGGCTGTCATTAAAAACTTTTTACAGCCGTCAGTTTTCATTCTACTAGTTATATAGCGCACACATATAAATTTTAGCAGCAATATTATCGTTCCTTAAAAATTCTCATGTCTATTTCCAGGTTTATAATGACTTCACAGATGAAGTCACTGTCAAAATAGGATCAGAATGGGGACACAGTAGTTTCTTTCAAATAGACCGCTTCCGTGGACAACCACAGTTGCCTGGATTTAATCCTGATGTAAGTATAAATTACTCAGTATATATCTTCCTAACCTAACTAATCTGTTTGGTTGCAACCACCGGTAAAGGATGGTACTAAACCAGTCTCCTAGACAAAAAAGAATTTCTACTACCTAATCAATCATAATTCATTACATTTAAAGTAAGAGATCGACAGCTCCGTGGCGCAGTGGCTTAGCAATGAGACGCAGCGCTAAGGGCCGCGGGTTCAAATCCCGCACGGAATAAGTATTTAGCCTACAAAGAGCCGTGGTAGCTCAGATGGTTAGCGCTCGCTGTAAATTTCACAATACGCGAGCAAACCGGGTTCGATGCCCGCCGGCACCAATGAAATTGTTAATTGCAATTTTAAGTGCTGATTTACCACGTGCTCGTCGGTGAAGGTAAAAAGGACAGAATGTTTGAGATTTTTTTAATTAATTTTTCTTTACCTAGCCTTTATTACATATTCTGAACCTTCTCTGCAAATTTGGTCGGTTATTGCAAAATAACCCTGTATAATTTAATAATGTTAAAAGCCGTGGTATAAAAGCCGTATAATATAAGAGCCGTGGTAGCTCAGATGGTTAACGCTCGCTGTAATTATAACAGAACGCGAGTAACACGGGTTCGATCCCCGCCGGCACCAATGAAATTGTTAATAGCTTTTAAGTGCTGATTTACCACGTGCTCGACGGTGAAGGAAAACATCTTGAGGAAACCTGCATGTCTGAGGAATAAGAGAAAAAAATGTTTCGAAGACATGTGAAGTTCGCCAACACGCATTGGTGCAGCGCGGCGGACTATTCCTTGCCCTAAAACCCTCTCAGAAATGCGAGGAGGCCTGTGCCCAGCAGTGGGACGTATATAGGCTGTAACTTTACTTTTTACTTCACTACAAATAATTGATCAACTACAAATTTTGGATGCTTGTCCTAGTGAAATTTATGTATGTAAACTGCCCCCACGATACAGGAGAAAATCCTGGTGTGGAGGTAACGCTATTTTTAAAGAAAAAAATTTGTTAAGTTTTCGTTATGTTTTTCATTTGTGAAATTTCTCTCCTGTAGATAGGATAATTAATCACTGAATTATTTTTAAATTAACGCGAATAATTTTAGTAAAACTAATTTTATGAATTTTATCGCGTTTATTATTTGGTCCAATCCCCGCATTTAAACCTGCATAAAAAAAACAAATAGCTGACGTGAAACACCGGTGCTTCGGGAAATCTGCAGTCTGTGAACATGTTCAAGATCGTCCCCGTCATTACACCAGATTTGATAAACCACAAATGATCACAAAAGAACACCAATTCCTACCAAGGTGATTCGCGAGGCTATTGAAATTAAAAAACATCCTATTTCAATAGAGAACTTGGATGAGTGCTATCATCTACGTAGGATCGTATAATTAATAAAATTAAATCCAAATCCAATAGTACCATTGCAAAACTTCAAGATGCTGTAAGTTCGTTCTGCGTAACTGCGACCAAAGATTAATTTCAAAAACTGAAGGTAGCCGCGCTAACTATAACATCGGAAATTCAAAAATCTCAATACCCCGTGAACAACGGGAATTAAAAAGTTTAAATTAAACGCGATAAAATCGGTATGAATAATTTCTAAAATAGATAAAATAATGGATGTTTGGATGGTTTCAATGGGCTACAAAATCAATTTACTATCAGCTGAATTCTGTGCTCAACTCTAACTTTAATTAAAAATAAAAAAGTTACAGCCTAGAGAGTTTAAAATTAAAAATAATTAAAACATATTTTTTTCCACAACAGGTCTGTCCAGATCGTCTTTTTGGGTCCACAGAAGGAGTGATGTATCACCAGTATCTAACTAGACAGGACGTCTTATTGTATTGGAGGAAGAGCGTATGCAAACTCATGCCACTGTATTTTGAAAGTGGGTATTTTACAGAGAAAAAGGAGTGCTTTCTTGATTTTTTTTAATTTTAGTGGGTTAGCTAAGTAAACTTTCTATAATCGTTAGCGCTAATAGAAAAAAGCTTTAAAATGAATAGGAATAACATATTTTGACGTTATATCGCGTGACATTTTTTTATTTTATTTTTTACTTATATTCATTTATATCGCGTGACAAGCATTTACTTATTTCTGGAAAACTGTATGTAACTCAACAAATGAATTCAGATTATTGATCTTCTGACAATATATTTTATAAACACTGGCAAGGGATGCATCGGACGCTATCAGTCATAAACAATTAATTTTAGTACGATATGATTAAAACTACTTTTACAGATTTTATCGCGTTTATTTTTACTTTTTATTTACTTTTAGTTTATTAGTAAATAAAAAGTAAAAATAAACGCGATAAAATCTGTAAAAGTAGTTTTAATCATGTATAGTGTTCGCGTAAATATAAGAAATCATTATTTAGTACGATATTTTATCACATTAGTGTAATTTGTATTTGTATGTGTATATAATACTTTTATGATACATTGTCTTAGATTTAAAATGTACTAGATATAAAATCATACCTTATTAAACAAACATTATCATTACTATATTATCCTATACTTTTAAACGAGCAATTCTTGTATATATATCTTATTTTGGAAACGGCTCCAACGATTTTCATAAAATTTTGTGTCCAGGGAGTTTCGGGGGCAATAAATCTAGCTAGGATTTATTATTACAAAATGTCTTTTTGTCCGTGTTTTGAGGCAATGAAAAACTGCTACAATATAAGAAAGTAAATTTTGACACTGTGTTAATGATCGTAATAGCTCAAGCGGATATCGAGCGGTCGCGAAATTGTAATTCCTGGATTCGCGTCCTGTCTTCGGTTCAATTTATTTCCTTTTTTTTTCAAGTTCCCTTCTTTTGGGAGAAAATCTATTACTTCGAGCCCTTTTTTTAAGCATTTTTTAAAAATATGAAAATTTTAATTAAACTAATTGCACTCATGATTTTTATTCAAATAACCAGTTCAGTTTTTTTCTATTATGTCAAGATCAAAAGATCTTGACATAATAGAAAGATTAAGATCAAAAATATTATTGATGTTTCATCCGTATGTAATTTTGATATCACTTTTAATTAGGTCATCCAGGTACTTATATTAATATTATAAAACAATTTTCAGTCGGATGTAACGATTATAGAAAGCAAAAGAGGGCTAACCTCGCTAAGTTTAGCAATATCTTACGTACCGTTTGATATTATCATATACTTTAAACCCAAAAACACCAAAGAGCTATAATAATACCTTCCTAATTCACATAGGTTTCTTCTTCACCAGTCTATGAAAGTTCACTTTGACGTTTGACTTTGAAGTTTAATGTCATCTACACATTACGGTGCTAAGTAAAATAATTGTTAGCGAGATTTCACTTTAATAATCAGCCAATTTAAGGTAAAATGCATCTGTTTTTTTTTTAGAATAGGATAGCACACAGTCCAACTATGGTAAGTGGTTGCTGTAGCCCATAGCCATCTAGACTGAGATGGAATGCCTCGTTTCCAGTAAAAAGGGTCTCTGGTTCTCTACAGTTACCATACGAAACAAAGCAGCATTAAGCTATTATTTTACGCTGGTATTCTGTGAGAGCGTGGATCTTTCCCTGTCGAGCCGACCCATTCGTGTTACAACTAAGTATACTACTAATATAACTGCAGTATGGCTCTACCGCGTATAAATTTAGCCAAATGTAGAATACAATGCGAGACTTAAAGTTAAGATTTAAAGTTGTAATATCAAGGTGCACAAACAAAATTATAAAAAAATGTATTTATTAATCACTGACTCCGGACTTTGTATTCATCATCATTATTTCATCATTACAGCCCTTCACAAGTCCACTGCTGAACGTAGGCCTCCCCCAAGCAATGCCACAAAGCACGGTCCTGAGCCACCTGCATCCATCGACTTCCTGCATGTCTTACCAGGTCGTCACTCCATCTAGTGGGGGGTCGCCCTACACTACGCCTACCGGTACGAGGCTGCCACTCGAGAACCTTTCTTCCCCATCGGTTATCGGTTCTTCGAGCTATATGGCCGGCTCATTGCCACTTCAGTTTACTAATCCGTTGGGCTATGTCGGTCACTCTGGTTTAACTGCGGATATCCTCATTTCTGAGTCTATCACGCAGAGAAACTCCGAGCATAGCCCTCTCCATAGCTCGCTGAGTGACCTTGAGCGTCCACATACGGCCAGCAGTGAAGGACCACGTCTCAGATCCGTAAGTCATCACTGGCAACACGCACTGGTTGTACACTTTAGTTTTCAGAGATTTAGGTATACCTGACGAGAAGATGTGTCGTAATTTCCCGAACGCTGCCCAGCCGAGTTGAATCCGTCGATTGACCTCTCGCTCGAAGTTGGACTTACCTAGTCGGACTATTTGTCCCAGGTAAACGTACCTACTCGTCAACAACTTCGAGCATAGTGTTCTCAACAACTACCGGCATAGGTGTGACATGGACATTAAACATGATCTTTGTTTTGTCCATGTTCATCTTAAGACCTATCCGTTGGGAGACACCATTGAGGTCATTGAGCATAGTGCTAAGGTCCTCCAGCGATTCTGCCATAAGGACTATATCGTCGGCAAATCTAAGGTAAGTGATGTACTCGCCATTGATGTTAATACCGTATCCTTTCCAGTCCAGTAGCTTGAAAACGTCTTCCAACGCAGCGGTGAAGAGTTTCGGGGATATAACGTCACCTTGCCTTACACATCTCAGCAGTTGGATAGGTTTCGAACTCTGGTTCTGAACTCGGATAGCCATCGTAGCCCTACTGTACAAAGATTTCAGCACTTCGATATACCGACAGTCAACTTGGCACCGCTGAAGGGACTGTAGCACCGCCCAAATTTCGACGGAATCAAAGGCTTTCTCATAGTCCACATACGCCAGGCAAAGTGGCAGATTGTACTCTTCAGTCTTCTGTACAATCTGCCGCAGGGTATGTATGTGGTCTATGGTACTGAAGCCTTTTCGGAAACCGGCTTGTTCGGGAGGCTGGAAGTCGTCGAGTCTGCGTGCGAGACGATTCGTAATGACTCTCGAAAACAGCACGTAGACGCGGCTCAGAAGGGAAATCGGTCTGTAGTTCTTCAAGAGAGCGTTGTCGCCTTTCTTAAAGAACAAGACCACCGCACTTCTTCTCCACGCCTCCAGAGTAGTGCCACCATGGAGGACGGAATTGAAGAGCTTCTGAAGTACTTCAAGTACCGGTGTTCCTCCCGCTTTCAGAAGCTCCGCTGTAATTCCATCCTCGCCTGGGGCTCTGCCGTTTTTAAGGTGCTGGAGAGCCATTCTAATCTCGCTCAGACTGACGTCCGGGATATCATCGGAATAGTGTCGGGTAAGACTTGCTCTTGGATCGTTACTCACACTTGCGTGTGGCTCCAACGATGACCTGTACAGCTGCCCATAGAACCTCTCAATCTCACTCAAAATCTCAGGTGTCCCGGAAACGATGCTGCCACACTCAGTCTTCATCTTTGGCAGTTGGCTCTTTCTGGCAGACAGATCTCTGGCAAAGACTTTGGAGCCCTGGTTCCGCTCGATCGCTTCTTTAATACGAGCAGTATTAAAGTTGCGTAAGTCTCGACTTTGTATTCGTTCATTAGAATTTTACCAACCTATTTTTTTTTTTAATTTGAAACCTTGAATTAAAAGTTTTGAATTTATTCCTTTCCGAAAAATATTTCCAAATAATATGTATTATTATCTAGAGCACAGAATACTATTATTCGCAATCTAAAGATCTACAACTTAACAAACGGCAGTGTGCCATCCATAGAATAATGTAATACATTCTGAATTTTAGTATTCTATGTGTCATCTAAAGAGATTTAAATTATTACTACTTAATTGTCTTTGGTGTCACCCAAGCTCGAAAAAAAGACGACACGCCTATAATGTGTATACATAGTTTACACGAACATTTTGGGCTACTTTCAACCCCCTCACAAATCAAAAAAATTTAAACCATAATTGTAATTTTGCATGTTTAGTAAGGCCCGCTTGAATACCCAAAAATTTCATCGATAAACCTTGTACAGTTCTTGAGTTATTAAAGCGAAAATTGCAACAAGGATATCTGAATAATTCAAAACGTTACCCCGTATAATCCCCTCACTTTGTCTAGGACCTAGTTAATTTCCAACCAGTTTGTAATATTTAATTCATATACTCAAAATTTCAGAACTTTTTTAAAAACCTATTCCCTCTCCTATATATCTTTATTGTAGACTAGTATATAGTGATCTTGTTAGTAATGAAACGACAAAGACGTGCTATCACAGACAGAAATCCGAATAATTAATTGCTATGTTTTAAAATGAAAGTGAGCTTATTTTGATGCTTACTAGGCAGTATATTTAATCCCGCTAAAAACAGAAAACGTAAAATAAGTAAAATGTGAGTTAAAAAGTGGCGATTAAAACGACATCAATAGCCGCATATAAATATTTTAAAGGATTTTGATGTACCGTACGGCGGGGCAGTGGTTTTTCTGAATGTAGGTAGATGCGCGAGGCGCAGCCAACACCACGTGCGTTTTTTTACGTGCAATGTTAAAAAACAGACTAAGACAAAATCGAATCGTCGATCGCAAATATCCATACACAATCGATTTATCTTTACGATTCTCAAATTTGCCTGCGGTGAAGTAAATCGTAACATACACTAATCTGTCGTTTCGATCAGTATGAAGCGACGGATCGTAACGACGGTTCATACCGGACCCTTGCCCTTCAAACCCTTTAGGTGTTAAGCGTGCCATTTTTTATCACTTACTAATTTATTGATTCATCAAAAACCTAAACACCTTCTGGGTGACTAGAAACCTGAAATTTGGCATTAAGGTAAATAATTAGGCATTTACAAAGGTGGTTGGTGTCGACATTTATAATTGTTATACCTTTTTTATACGTCAATGTATTATAGTTTAAATATAAATAAAAATAGTGAAGCGTAAACGCTAGAAAAAACGTTGAAGGACGTGTATCAACAAGGTTAAAAAATCGGGGTGTAGCTGTGTAATGGACACGGCCGTGCGTTTTACGATTTTACGTGAATACGTGCAGCGAAACCAAAACCACAAAACCACACCACAACCACAATCAAAAATGTATTTTTTTAATTATTAATTGAAAAGAATTCTTTAGAATTAGACTTAGAAGATGCTATAGAGTTTGTCACCTCTTCAGATCTCAACTCTGTTATTAGCGAATCCAACAACCTTGATTATCGTTTGCACTTCCCCAGCTTATAACTGCCACCAAGGAGCAGTGTATCCAATGTTGTGTTGTGATTTGAAGGGTATGGAGGAATTGAAATATGCTCCTATTTAATAATACTGCTGTGTTTCGTAAGGTGAGTGTAGAGATCCGGAGACCCTTTTTTACTAGAAACGAGGCATTCCATCTTGGTCCTCAGGGGCGACAACGCATTGGCGTTTTGATTCTCGAGGATAAATGTAGATGTCTATGGGCCACAACATCCATATACCATCAGGTGTACTGTGTGTTCGTTTGTCACCCTTATTCTATAAAAAAGCAGTACAATTACAGGCTGAGATGCATTCCATAATTTTAAGAGATGACAACACACGTCTATGGTTAGCCTTTTTTATACAAAGTTGGTTGCAGAAGTCCATGAGCAGTGATGACTACTCATCAGAATAACTGTTCTAATTTGTCATTTTTCAATAACTGAAACGACTCTGTAGCACAGTGGCTAAGCGATAGGCTGTAGCGCTGCATGGCCGCGACTTCGAATCCAGCACTGAACAAGTGTTTTTAAGACCTACAAACAATTTTTCGGATCTGTAATTTTGTCCAGTTCCAATTTATGTACGTAAAACGCCTCCACGATACAAGAGAAACTCTTATTGCCTCATAGGTTTATATTTGCCATAGTTTCGAAGATTGGCATATTTTTGCTATATTTGCCATAGTTGCAAAGGTTGCTTACTTTGTGTTGTTACCAGGAAAACGCTGCTGCCCATTTTCCTGTTTCATTGCCTCTTCTGACCACGTACAAAACCCACGGAATGACGTGGGTTAGTGGATTCCGCCATGTAATAGCAGCGTCTTACGCCATACGAATACGAATTACTCATTGACCCATAAATTATCACACTGACTCATAAATTATAAGATTTTATAATACATTTCCAGGCGAAATAGTGATTGACAACGTACCAGTATATCGGTACAATTTATCGGAAATAGTCTTCGAGAGGGTAACCAACGGCACCGACTGTTATGATACAGTGCCTTCTCTTCCTTCTGGGTTGAGCGATGCGTCGAAATGTTATTACGGTAAAATTTTAAATATTATATGTATTATATTTAAAAAAAAAATATTTGCTTGTCCCGTACGTGATCTTATAACATTCATCCAACTACGAGGATTCTTTAGTAAGTTGCTATATGCGAGCCCGCGTGGATTTCTGACAAAAGCAATGAATATTTTTTGCTTATATGTTCTTCTTCTATGCATAATGAAGAATTTTAATAATGAGTGCTCAGTGAGGAGCTCTTTAAACCAGTTAAGACATCATTTTTATGCGGAACTTAGTAGCTAATTAATTATTTAAATAATATTTAATATATAGCGGATTTCCGCAAAGTAATGCCTGATGCTATTGAGGGAATAGACAGTGCACCTGTACTTGCGCATACACTTGGGCACCATAATCCTGTTCTGCGCAAATGGCAAGTCTCCACCGAGGTTGGCCGCCGTGATCTAAATTCGGCCTGGATGGCATTATCTATTACAAAAAAGGATGTCCTGAGTGACTGACTCATCTACTAATCGACGTACAGCTCAAACCTACTAATTAACTATGTAGTACATAGAAATGAAATTTAGAAGCGCAATTTTGTAAAACGCTAATTCTACCTTAGTATTTGATTATGACAACCCATTCTATTTTTTCATTTCTAATCACATATAGATGTAGGTGTCTGAGACACATCATTCACTTGTTATTTCGTGCTAACTAACGTTTTTAAACTCAAAATGGATTTTATATTTTCTTTTCAGATTTCTTTTGAATTATCACAAATCTTAATAACCCCAATTAATTACTTTTGTTTATTTTAGGTTTCCCTATGACTGTGTCTTATCCGCATTTCTACACGGGTTCGCCTCCAAAGGACCACTACGTCACAGGTCTCACCCCAGATCGGCAGAAACATAACTCCTACGTTGTAGTAGAACCGGTGAGTGGGATTTTGAATAGAACCCCTAAGAATTAAGATCAAATGCCTAACAGCCTGTAATTATATTTGCTCTCTGTTCCTATCGGAAAACAGCAATTCAAAAAATGCTATTTGAGTGGACCCTATCCATACGGACTCTTAGGCAGAAACGCCGAAAGTTGCGTGTCTGTCGGTCTTCTACAGGTTGTACTTTGGAGAGTATGGTCATGAGCTTCATAAGCTTATACCGCCATCTCCATTCTCCTCTCGGAGTACCAGACGTACTACAGTTTACCATCCACACTTGGTTGATATTCCGAATATTCGCATTAAGCACTTTACGTCATCTTTCTTAATGCGCACAGCCAAGGAGTGGAATACCCAGCCGGCGTCTGTTTTTCCGATTACATAGGGAGATGGACTTCGCCTGGGCAAACTCGCTCCATCGTAGACCTCATCTTTCAGATGTCAGATGGAGGTCAGGAATGAGCTCATTTTTAATAAACAATGGATTTTTATCATATACAGTGTGTCCGGTCACGGACTAACGATATTCTAGGTACTTATAATACAGCTATTTTAATACAAAAATACACTACACACTGAGGTCTAATCCCCTCCCCCTCTATGTGGCTGCCATTTTGTTTTCTTCTTGAGATATTCCCTACGTGTTTACAAAAATATTCATATCTCTCAAAGTTTTCGTCTTACTGAGATAAAAATTAACTCATTCGAAGGACAACAATATTGTCTATCGTTTCCGTTACCAAAAACATTGTTCACATACTCGTAACTTTAAAGAAAAAAAATTTACTTCAAATAAATATCAAAAAATTATGCTAATCGGCAAATTATTGTAAATTACTGCAAAAACAACCCTGTTTACCATTTTTATTTTTAGACTAGGTCAACAGATTTTGAGTTAAGCTACAGTAAAACATAAAGTTTACAGCTGTATGTTTATTACTTTAAGAATTATTGTTGTTTGAAAATAGCGTATGCGCGTGTGATACAAATTATGGCGATTTGCCATAATTTGTATCACACTCTTAACGATAAACAGTAATACAGCATGTAAAAAGCACGGAACTGTCTGAACTGTCAAACTGAATTTTTTTTGCTAGTAGCTTACAGTATTTTCGGCCTGCTCTTGAATGAAATACATCATTGCATCAATTTCAGAGCAGGCAGCACAGAACACTATTACTCCTAGGTAGGTAGTGCCAGTTGTCACTAAACGAAGACCTTTTATGTTTGCGCATACGCTAAGTTCAAACAACAATAATTCTTAAAATAATAAATATACAGCTGTAAACTTTATGTTTTATTGTAGCTTAACTCAAAAACTGTCGATCCAGTAAAAAAATAAAAAGGGTAAACAGGGTTGTTTTTGCAGTAATTTACAATAATTTGCCGATTAGCATAATTTTTTGATATTTATTTGAAGTAAATTTTTTTTCTTTAAAGTTACGAGTATGTGAACAATGTTTTTGGTAACGGAAACGATAGACAATATTGTTGTCCTTCGAATGAGTTAATTTTTATCTCAGTAAGACGAAAACTTTGAGAGATATGAATATTTTTGTAAACACGTAGAGAATATCTCAAGAAGAAAACAAAATGGCAGCCACATAGAGGGGGAGGGGATTAGACCTCAGTGTGTAGTGTATTTTTGTATTAAAATAGCTGTATTATAAGTACCTAGAATATCGCTAGTCCGTGACCGGACACACTGTATAATATAATGTATATGTTTATGTGTAGCAAAATGTATCGGAAACTATAAAATACAAGTTAGAGAGTAAGAACGGGTAACACATGATCTAGATTTAATAACATCTCAGCGAAGATAAAGCACCATCATTATGATTTCAGTTCTTTACAAGTCCACCGCCAAACAAATGCTTGACCTAAGGCATGCCACAAAACACGGCTCCGAACCATTTGTATTCATGGACTTCCCGCATGTATTACCAGGTTCATCTAGTAGGGGGCGATCCTATATTTCGCCCATGACACAACCACCATTCAGAGTCACACGATTGTATTGTACTGCTGGACCTATGCCACAATAAATTCGACCAGCGGTGAGCATGCATAGATAAAGCATTATAAGACTACAAATAATCAAACATCCCTTTCAGTTGACTGGTGTACCATTCCGTGCTGTAGCAAGGATGCAAAGCAACCTTCGGATCCATGATCTCTCAAATTTCCCCAAAGAATACGATAGATTTTCGAATCAAGTTATACCATTGTTTTGGGCAGAATACGTGAGTATTTTATGTCATGTTTTTACAGTTACAGAATAATATCAATCGAAATAATTTCTTTCGATAATATTGTGTAGAAATGTCACCATCTTTAGGGGTATGATTTGGCAAGGGATGGCAGCTGAAGGTGTGTCAGGCATGTGTGGCAATCACAGAAATCTAAATAAAAAGACAATAGAAATGCCTTCTACTGTATTTGAATATCGGGACGCGTGTCGCCAGGTCGTAGCTCTCACACATAGACAAAAAATAAATACACAATTACGCCTACAAATACTTCTAGCATTCATGCAACAAAGATTAATCTATAAGCTATTGCGTTAAGGAATATTTTATAAAAACGCAAAATCTCAGGAGGCATAGCAGCCACTCGGTCCATTAATTAAAGTGTGCGAAAAACAGAGAATGACATTGCGCGCTCGCTCTCACTTGGGCATAGTGCAGCGCAACGCACGTTTCGATAACTTTCTATTAAGTGTCGTTGATCTTCCAAGAGTCTCAGACCAATATGTAACTATTTAACTGAAATTGTCTCAGTAATGGGCGCTTTTAGTCTTAGCTTTAGCTTTTGGACGTTTTATAATTAAAAAAGGGGGATATAATAATACGTTAAGAATAAGTGTATTCATTTATCTTTAATAACTAGATCTTTTGGAAACTTGTAATAAAAGCATTGTATTAAATAAACAGATGTATAAATAAAATGAATACAACATTATACAAACAGCAAACTAATAAATATATGTATTTATCATAATTTTTGTTAGTTTTAAAAATCTCTAACTGACTTTTTGTTGTTTGTTATTTTTCAGTTACCCGGCTTCTTACGGATCAAATTTAGTCTACTATCCTTACAAAATAATTACTTATCCTTACAAGATATTAAAATTGCATAAAAATTTATCAAGTAATTTAAAAGTACAAACAGATAATCGCCGATAAACGGTTAACGATATAAAATATTTAGAAAGAAAAGAAATAAAGAAGGTGTAAATAAATATTTAATGAAAAATCAAAACATTTCGGTAAAACTAGGTAAGCTAAACATAATAAATTAGCGATACAAAATAGTTGTGTCACGTAACTGACTCGCATTCGACTCCTGCGGCCATGTTCTGGGAAATTCACGTACGCAACAATTTTGTTTATTGCCCATACTATAAATCCATCGCTGATTTTAGCTGTCGTACTTGTAGACATGAACTACCTTAGGAATCAATGGATATTGAAGTGTTAAAACAATTAAAATTTCGGAGACAATCGTAGTACTGGAGGTGCATAATTTTATTTAAGTATATTTCATTAAACACATTATTTAAAACATTAAGTACTTATTTATGAAATTTTATCCCTTTATTTGAAAATTTGCAAGTTGTGGAGGAATTTCCGCAGTTGGATATGCTTCAAAACACTAATTTTACGTCACTGCGTCGGAAACAGTACTAGTGACCGAAACAAATGCTCCTCGCACGCTTGTGGCCTACTGGTCACATGTGCGGCGACAAGGTCATGCGCTTTTACGACTTCTATTTATATTTAGATTTCTGTGGTTGCAATGCTCCTAATCGGCTGAAGGGTCTTTAAATAGGGAAATTACTGCCTTTCCTACTTTTAGAGGGTCAACATAGTATGTGCCTAGATCAGCCACGGAGAACAGCGTGAATGATGAGAGGCATCTGATACTGCAATAGTTAATTCACTGCCGTGGGAGGCGATTTTAGGAAATGAACTTTAAGGGGAAATATAACCTCAAATGGCTTAGCAAGATCCTCCGTTATGCCGAAAATATTGCAGCATTAATTTTGAAATAAATATATGGTAAAGTTGAGGATTAATGTTAACAGTTAGACACTCTAAAATTTTCTCGATAAAAAAAATCCAAAGTTACCTCCAAAATAAACAATAAACCGCTGTTATTCATAAAATACTTTAAATAAGGTCATGAAAATTTGCATACTAACTGAACTAACTATAAAGCAGTACTTATGTTATTTACTTTTTTTTTTAAATGCCATTATTTTCACTGTAAAAAGAAATTACCTAAACCAGACTTCCCCAAACTTTTTTGTAACGTAGACCCCCTGCCATGTTTTTCCGTGTTGGGTAGACCCCCTACTTACATGATATTGATTTCCTGTAAATTTCTAACTGTAGTGAAGTTTTGTGTAAAAACTTAAAGTAAAAACACATGTTAATTTATACATTTATTAATTGAATTTAAATTAAAACTACTCAAAATAAAATTTTGTATCTGTTATGTAAAATATATAAATATATTCGCGTTATATAAAATATATAGCATTAAATAAACATAAAATAAACTATAAATAAAAAACATACGTGTGGCACTCGGTGACTGCCGCGGTAAAGCTATTGCATAGCATTTTTTATCAACTTATGCAACTATAATTATTTATTTATTTTATTTATGCAGTTAAGTCTTTGATATTAAATCAAGTTACACTTTTTGAGCGTGGTGACCGATAAGAAAACAATTTTTTTTCTCTTATTGAATAAATGAGAAGTTAATATTGTTCAAAATATTTTTAATATCTTACAATACATGTAGGTTATTCAGGAATTTTTATCATTGAGTTAGCAGCTAGTGTACACGCATACGTCTAGTCGCACGCACACAAACACCGTGCCGAACTCTGCCGAGTGCCGAAGTCTGCCGAACTGAAACGACGTTAGACGATGCACGGCTTTCAACGCCACACCTCCGTGCCCGTCGGAGTGGGGAGCGTGAGGTTTTTTCGTTACGGAATTTCTGGATTTGGTCCCCGCGCTCAAGGCCCGCAATAGAAGCTATGCAATAGCTTAATAACATAAGCAATAAGTCAATATTTTTAGTGAGAAGGATGAACCTGATGCTTTAATAATAAATTATCAACATTTGTCGTCAATTTTGTAAGGGTTAATCTTAAATCTCCTCAGCTAATGATGTCCAGTCTGTTACTTTTTTTCGTTAGGAGATTGGTAATAGCGCTGAACCCCCTTTCCACTAGGTATGACGATGGAAAGGAAATTAAAAATTTCCTCGCTATATTCCATAATACGGGATAAGTAACGGGTATGTTGTTTTGAAGCCAGAATTGCTGGTATCCGTTTTTAAACTGAACCTTAAGTTCTTCGTTTGTACTTAGTTCAGTCAGTTCCTCTTGTATTATGGTATTCGTTTCTTCTCTGTCACCATATGGATTAATTATCCACGGTGGTGTTACCATAGTCAAAATATCCTCAAACCTAGATTCAAAATCTGAATAGAGGGCATTTAAATGTTGAACGTAAGTTGAAACGTCGTCTTCCTGGCAGCTTGTCTGTGACAAATCGGGAAACTGAGAAAATTCGCTCCGTCCAATATTTTGCTTCATTAGTTTAACTCTGGCAAGAAACGCTGATAAGATGGACTTTGTTTTAATCAAATTTAAACTGTCGCCTTGTAATTGCAAATTAACCATATTAAATTTTGTAAACAAATCTGTTAAATAGACGATGTCTGTTTTCCTCTTCATTAAATTTTCTTTTAAAATTTTATCTTTAGTATCCAGAAATTCTAAAATAGTCTCAAAAAGTGCAAAAAATCTTGTCAAATATAAGCCTTTCGACAGCCAGCGTACTTCAGTGTGAGGGAGTAATTGATGAAAGTGTTCGTCATTTTCTTCACACAACTGCGCAAATAGCCGCGTATTCAACGCGTTGCTTCGGATTCGGTTTACTGCATCAATGACTAAATGAAGTGATTCATGCAATCTAACACTCAAATTTTTAGCAACTAAATGCAATATCAGAACTCATTTCATCAATACGTATTTCAACAGTATTGTTGCTTAAGGGAATTCTTTTATTATCAGATGCAGGTTTGTGTAAAACAGTTTTTAAAACCTCTTCAACGGCTGGCAAAATTTACTTCTCTCCGATAGTATGCGGTTTTCCGGATTTTGCTATAAGTAACGAGATATTGTAAGACGCCCGCAAACCATCATCATTTCTTTGTGACGTCGAAGCGAACATTCTGTCCAGTGTAGGTCTCTTCTGAAGTTTATCTTTGAGTGTTTGAAAATATTTCAAATCTTTCTCTGTTTTATCAGGGTGGCATCTTCTCAGATGATCTTGCAGTTTAGATAGTTTCATAGCGTCATTGCCAAAAACTTTGTTGCATAAAAGGCACATAGGCAATTGTATGTCCGGCAATGATGGAATGAAGCCAAATTTAAAATAATCGACACTGTACTGTCTACATTTCTTTTTAGATTCAGACATGGCATACGTAATCTGTGGGCAAAACTAAATTATTTAAATAGGACGGAAAATCCAGCAGCTGTATATTAAAATATTTTTTGATTTTTCCGAAAACATTCCATAATTCGAATATCTTCTTGCAACAATTAGCTCGAATTACGGAGATTGCACTGTAATTATAATACCGATTGCTAAAACTTTTAAAAAGAAACTATTGAAGAGTAATCGTGTAATTTTGCATGATTGAATATTAAACTACTATTAACTAAAGTCATGATTGGCGTAATTTATCTATTTTTGCTAACTACGAGTACAAAACTAAAATTTAATAAAAAATAATGTACTTACTTTTCTCCAGCACTCTCAAACAAAATAACACTCACTATAATTTGTGTGATATACTATCTGTTTATATTTTTTAAAACGAATAAACGTATTTGTCCCACATTCGTATTTATAGAGTGACGAATTGAACAAGTCAGTGCAAGGTCTGCGACTGCGACTCTCAGGTTTTTACAAGTGTATAGTTAATAATAACAAAATGTATTGCGACCACAAAGCGAATACCAACATCCTACAACTTACACAATTTTATAAACATATATAATAAAATTTTACTTCATAGGTACTTTTATAAATAATGTATGTGTTTTGATATTATAAGATAGTATGATGTAAGTAAATAGGTACTATCAGTATATGTGTTGAGATCCACTATCGTGGACCCCCATTTTCATTTCATGGACCCCCAATTTTTTTTCGCTGACGTAGACCCCTTGCAGGTTGTCATAGACTCCGAGGGGTCGATATAGACCACTTTGGGAATCACTGACCTAAACTATCGGCCTCAGCTTGATTCCTGCCGCCCAGTCAGTTTGGCTTCGACCTTTGAAGGGGGAGGTTGTGTCGCTTACGATCAGAATACACATTACGCAACAGGACGACGTAAAATTAAAATGGGAAATAACCGTTATAAAAATAAGAAGCGACTGGGTTGGCGTTAAGAAACAGGCATAAATATGATAAACCCAATGAAATAAATATCTAACTACCTATCTACTTACAGTATTAGTGATTACAAACATGTCGGTACATAGCTAACGACGCGCGGGGAAGTGGAGGCGAAATTAGAATTTGAACTGACTTACTATATCCTCTTAAGATGTTGATGAAGTAGAGAGAACACACACACACACACACACACACACACGCACACACACACACACACACACACACACACACGCACGCACGCACGCACGCACACACGCACGCACGCGCCCCACACACGCACGCACGCACGCACGCACCACGCACGCACGCACGCACGCACGCACACGCACACGCACACGCACGCACGCACGCACGCACGCACGCGCACATACACACACACACACACACACACACACACACACACGCACGCACACATGCACACACGCACACACACACACACACACACACACACACACACACACACACACACACACACACACACACACACACACACACACACACACACACACACACACACACACACACACACACGCACGCACACGACTCTTGGTTACACAACACTTTTTCTCATTCCTTGATTTTCGTTTACTGCAGGTTAGTTCATTGCTAACTGAATTATATTTATTATTAAGTCATCAGAATCTATTGTAGTTATAATGCCACTAATAGGGGAAGACACTGGTATCTAAGGTACAGTTAGTTTAGATAGAAATCAGGATTCGAATAATTTCTTAAAAGATTTGTGACATATAAATTTATATATTTATTTATATGTTCTTGAAACTTTTATTTCAGAGTCAAGAAGGTCTACCGACGATAATAAGATTGACTATTTATTTTATGGTGGTGGTCTTGCCACCAATGTCGACGGTTATATTTATATTGACGCTCCTTTTTGGATGCTTCCTGATATCGAGACGAATTTATGATTACAAAATCATTCATAAATTTGTTCCTTCTTTAAATCGATTAAAAAATAAAAATAAAACTATTACGCGGAATAAAATATTAGTATACGAAAAAGAATCATTTTTGAAAATACAATAGCTGAAAGTGAAGTTATAATTTAATTAAATATTTACAGCTAGAATAAATGTCTAAATAGAATTGAAGACTGAATAACACATGAAATAAAACTTTTGTTGTGGAATACCAAAAATGAAATTAATAAGAAAATTTGCGTGCGTATAATAACATCAAGAAATAATTAATTAAAAGAACTATTAATCTTAAAACTAATGAATTTTAGTGTATGTTTTAAATACTTGCTTAGATTTTTTAGTGTTTTAAATGTGTCATTGAATATGGCAATATGTAAATTGTGATATTATATGATAATATTTGAAACCTATAGGTATGGTAATATGACTTGAAAAAAGAGTGAATCTTTAAAGTAGAACGAGATATAGTTTTCAATGGAATTGTATAAAGATATATTTCATTTTAAAGTTCACATCATATTTGTTCCATAATAACACTGCCCTTGTGATATATAATAGGCATGTTATATGTGTATACAGGCTGTTAGTGTAAACACCGTTATCCTTGAAACAAGTGGTGTGGTTTCACTTGTAGAACGTAAATTCAATGAAAAATAACAACATTCTTTTTAGTAAAATCTCTATTTTTCCTTAATTCCTCAATTTTTGCCTGTCCTAAGCCAGGATGAAAGTATGAAGGAAAAGTTACGTCATAGGTTATGTGTACCTATTGTGTTTATATTGGAATGTTGTGTAGGTATCTAGCACGGGCGGTGATCTTTACAGTGATTACGTCACTTGGGCGCTTAGGGTATCCATGAATTTACGGACGGTGTCGGACAGAAACTTTTTAAATTTTATGAAAGAAAATAGCGTTTTTTAAAAATTCGGATAATATTTTTATATTAAAGCCTATGGTTTTAGTGACAACGGTGTTTACACTTACACCTGTATAATCAATGTGTTTGACATAGTATACCTATAGGTTAAGTATCACTTAGTACATGGTGTTTGTGTAAGTGAAATTAGCATAGTACGGGATTACTATTACTTTTAAGGGGTAGTTATTAACTGTGATTGTTCCTAATGTAAGTGGAATTCGTACATATTTGCTCATAAATAGCTTTAAGCCATTTTTTATTAAATATAAATTGTTATATCGTGTTTTATTTGTTTCGTTCTTTCCATATAATATAATCAAGTACCTCAGACCAAATTTTGGTCAAGGTGGTAAGGACTATACTACTGATTGACTACTCTTAAAGAAAGTATTTAAGTTTCTTCAAAATTCAAGAGCACCTCTATGTCGTCGTGCAGGCTGTCCGCTCGCTACGCGCGGCGCATGCGACGGGTCCGCTCAACTGTAATGGTGACTTCTCACTGCATGTGTTATCACGCGCCGCGCGGGCTTATTTTTTTTAAAGAATAAGTATAGTAATATGTCAGTCACTCTGGATCTACTGCGGATGTCCTCAATTCTAAGTTTATCACGCAGAGGAACCCCGAGCATAGCCTTCTCCATAGCTCGCTGAGCGACCTTGAGCGTCCTCATACAGCCAGCATTGAAGAACCACGTCTCAGATTCATAAGTCATCACTGGCAACACGCAGTGGTTGTATAATCTCTTTTTCAGGTTTTGAGGTATACCTGACGAGAACTTGACTCGTAATTTCCCGAACGCTGGCCAGCCAAGTTGAATCCATCGATTGACCTCTCGATCGAAGTTGAACTTACCTAGTCGGGCTATTTGTCTCAACTAAGTATACTCGTCAACAACTTCGAGCTTAGTGCTCCAAACAACTATCGGCATAGGTATGACATGGACGTTACACATGATTCTTATTTTGTCCACGTTCATCTTAAGACTGATAAACCGTTGGGAGACACTATTGAGGTCATTGACCATAGTGCTAAGGTCCTCCAGCGATTCTGCCATTAGGGCTATATCATTGGCAAAACAAAGGTGAGAGATGTACTCGCCATTGATATTAATACCGTATCCTTTCCAGTCCATTAGCTTGAAAACTTCTTTCAGTGCTGCGGTGAAGAGTTTCAGGGATATACGTCACCCTATCTGTACTCGAATATCCATCGTAGTCCTACTGTACAATCACTTCAACACTACGATATACCGGCAGTCCACTTGGCACCGCTGAGGGGGCTGTAGAGCCGCTCAAATTTCGACGGAATCAAAGACTTTCTCATAGTCCACATACGCAAGACAAAGTCGCAGATTGTACTCTTCGGTCTTTTGTACAAACGGAGTAGTTCCACCACGGAGGATGGAGTTAAAGAGCTTCTGAAGGACTTTAATTTCCCATTTTCTACCCGCTTTCAAAAGCTCCGCTGTAATTCGATCTTTTTCTGGGGCTTTGCCGTTTTTAAGGTGCTGGAAAGTCATTCTAATCTCGCTCAGACTGACGTCAGGAATATTATCGGAATAGTGTCGGATAAAACTTGCTCTTGGATCGTTATTCACACTTGCGTGTGGCTCCAACGATGAGGTGTACAGCTTCCCATAGAACCTCTCAATCTCCCTCAAAATCTCAGATGTCTCAGGTTTTCAGCTTTGACAGTTGACTTTATCTGGCAGACTTTGGAGCCCTGGTTCCGCTTGATCGCTTCTTCAATACGAGCTGTAATGAAGTCGAATAAGACCCGTCGCATGCATTTGGAGATCTCTCTGTTCAGATGCCGGTATGATGTCAAATCTGCTGAAGATTGCAGCTTCATTTCCCGTCTAATAGCCATGAGATTAAAAGTGTGATCGGAGAGTTTTTATATTATTCTGCGACGGGTTTTAGAGAACTTAGCTCCGACTGCATGGACAGTTTCCACGAGCTTGTCATTCATATCGTCCCATGTATTGCAGTCTTTGCAGATATGCGACAAATAGCGATAGTTCAGCCAATATTCTATAGGGGCACAATCCTTACATTCGTCTGGATTGTTTTCGGCCACAAAGTGAACAACGCGTAGCTTTGCGTCTGGTGGCAAGCAACGAAGCTGCTGGGGGTATGCATAGGCATTTTGTATCCGAAGATTTCATGTGGTTTAGAAATTAATACAAAATAAATGGTTACCCAATAAAACAGTTCTCTTTTGAGTTTTTTCCCTTTCAGTTTCTTCTATGTGAGACCCATTTTACTGGAAACAACGCATTCCATTGTAGTCCTCAGGGGTGACAACGCAACTGCATTTTGATTCTTAATCGAGGATTTGATCCACTCCATTAAAGCGGTAACTTCATACTTTTACCCCTATTATTAGTGGAAACGACGAAAAAAAACAAACCTCCAATGTATACACCCACCCTTGCTGCTGAATTAAGCTGTCGTAAAAATCTAATAAAACTGTGCAGTGAGATGCATCAATATATTGTGGAGAAGTTGTTGTAAACCAAATATATTATAAACACTATTGGCGCCATCTACCCTTACCATTTGTAAAGCGCCATCTATGGTTCTCTTTCCTTTCATAAACTACTTACCTAACTGGAACAAACAGTTCACATAGAGAACCATAGATGGCGCTACATCCGTGCTGTTTACTTTAGCGACACGGAAAGGCGGCCATTACATTACATTATCACATTACAATTAAAAAGGTTGTCACAAAGGTGCGCGAGAGCAAATACACTTACCAAACCAAAACGTCTCCACTGTTTCCTTCATAACAAAGTACCAAACGGAGATTTTTAAACAAATTATTATAAAGAATTAAGTACTTGACATAGGCGAAAGTACCGCCGTACGAGTTACCAAATTTCCAAAGAAAAAGAGGGATTTGAATGTGTCACAAACTAATAGAAGTACGAATGCTCCGCTAGGAGTAATAGTGTTCTGTGTACGAATGTGTCTCCAAATCTATTGCTTAACATAGGCCTCTCCATAGACTGCCTCATATTAGCCATAGTTGCCACGCTTAGCAGGCGGGTTATTTTCTACTAACGTAACTCACTTAGTATTTTCATTTCTATTTATTATTAGGAAGACGCGGCTACCTATATCCTGGATTGTTGGCTTCTTTCGCCTCTTACAACCCCCACGTGGGGTAGTAGATATTCTTACACCTATACTACACGGTTAACCGAGTGAATTAACACTAATAGTTAATTCAGTCATATCTAGAAGCATATATTTAACAACAAAAACATGGAACTTTCAGTAATGAAACATGTTAGATTTTAAATAGTGTATATTCTTGACAAATACCAATTATTATCAATCACCATAATAAACATTTTATAACTATCAGTATGTACAATTCACATAAATTGATATATGAATATTACGTGTTTAATACCTATATTTTTTCCTAGTAATTGTGTGTGATTAGTAACATAAAGTACGGCTTTCATCATGGTCGCTTAGCTAGCAATCTTCAGGTTTACCTGAATCATAGATGTGCGGAGGTAGTACGGTCCAAGCGTGAAGTTTTGGCCGCTATTTTGGACATTGCGAAAGCCTTCGATCGGGTTTGGCACAAACCGCTTATTTTAAAACTTTCTTCCTATGGGCTTCCCGAGAAATCGTGAAATTAGATCGGAGCATCAATGTCGTAGTAAATGGTGAATGCTCCGATTACGCGCCTTATATTGCTGATGAGTTACAAGGCTGATAACCTACACTGTTTCTTTTGTATATCAATGATATGTTGCAAACCAGTAACATTCATTGCTATGCAGACGACATCACTGGTTATGTTTTATACACCGGCCATGGCCGTGCTAATATTTCTCGGGATAACGTCGCCGAGTAGTGTAACAAACTGACGTGTCTGAAGTCGAGTCCTTGTTAAACAGTCTCAGATTGGGGGTGATTAAATCTAGTCTAAAACAATCCCCTGAAGACACAAGTCTGCATGTTTAAACGGTAAAAAGAATCCTATTGTACTATCTCCTCAATTTTAGGGCACTCCCCACGTTGCCTCAGCCATCAACGGAATCCTCGGTGTCGACATATCGAATGACGTGCAATTTCGCGGTCACATAGAAGAGCAGGCTAAATTGGTCTCTAAAACGTACTAAAAAGTTACTCAGCAGAGCGCGATAGTATTTTATGCCGCCACACTGCAACATTACAAGGCGCAGGTTCGGTCTCATATGGAATATTGGTCTGATCTCTGGTCCAGGACCAGTGCCAGCTCCTTCAACCTGACCTCATCCAGCGCACAGCGGCCCGAATCGTCGACGACAGAGTTCTTTCTACTCGGCTCGATTCAGTGGCGCTGCGAAGAGATATTATTACCCTTTGCATTTCCTATCGCATTTACCACGAGAAATGGTATCTAAATGCGATCGAAAATGTATGATATGGTCGGATTAATTACAGACGCCAAAATTCAGCAACGCACATCGCGATAAAACATATTTTACCATCCATAGCATCATGCTTGGCCACTAATGTGCGATTTACTAAGAGTTTTCGTCCTCGTACGACTTCTTTATGGATTTTTTTTTACCACCGGCGATTTTTCCGGACTCGTATTGTCATCTACTAAGGGACTACTATTCTTTATCCCATGCAGGTTTCGGGCCTCGGGGAATTCCCTATTACCCGGGTAATCCTCACAGCCCATATCTATGGGCTGGTCTTGGGAGCCGTACATGTACGACATTGTAGGTAATCTATTTTCCGGACCGATGTGACTAGGGGTAGTTCGGGGGGGGGGGGGTTGACACTTACCATCAGGTAAACCGCATGTCTGTTCAAATCAAATCACTGTTTGAAAACGTTTTCAATACATAGTGAATTCTAATCTCAAAATTTATTATTGATGATTTGGAACTTCCGATGAGAAGTTAACTCAACGCCGAAGTGTCTCGAACACACCCTCGCATGTTTTGATTATGATTAATTCTGAAGTTAGAAAACATCAATCCATATTATTCATAAACGTAAATCAACGTCAGATGTAAACGCGACTGCTGATCATGAGATCTCGGGTTTGAATCATGGGTCGGGCCAAAAAAGACAGATAAATTTTCTTAAAATTGTTTTTTTTTTTGTTATAATTGCCGTTTATACTTTCATATGCATTTATTATAAAGCTGTTATATTGAAATAACAAATAGATATCAATTTTTATTTGTATACAAATAAATAAAATAGATATGTAGATTAGTCGTCAAACTAGGCTGTAAATTATAAATACCTTCGCCTGCCTAAATTGACTAGTAAAAAGTAAAAACAAAACAATTGAACAAACTTTTTAGCGGGTGTAGCAAAAATTTATTTCTAACTCTCCGATCATATTTCATTTAGGTGATTGTTTTGTTTTTAAGGTACTTATATATAGTAATTAATTTAAGGGACGTATTTGTTACAAATATATGTCAATTATTGTTTTGTGTTTGTTACGTAGTAGGTTAATGGGCTACAAATATGAATTACTATAAGAAAAATAATAATGGTTGGATTTTATGTCCATCAAAAAGCTTTCCTGGTAAATTTTACTATTTTAATGTTAATAATGGAGAAGCTGCTTGGAGTCTTACCGAATTGGATGTAAGTTAAACTACCATTTCATAAAATAATCAACTCTCGTATGATTTAGGTTTCGATTGATTTTATAAATAAACGTTCGGTAAATCGAATTTATAAGAACTTAGTTTAGTTTTATATCTTTATTATTACAGAAGCAAACTCTTAAAGACATAGCTGTACCGAAAGTGACAAATAAGTCTAATATTTATCCAGAACCTAATAGTCCCCCTGAAAATAACACAGGGATTTCATTTAATACAGACACATCATACAAGCTTCACCCTAACTGTAACAAAGTTTTAGATCAATCGAGTTTAGAGTCTCAAATATTTGGCCAAGGGTTTTTTCCCAAATATATATCAAATGTTAACCCATACATGCCAAATGTTATGTGGACACCAGTACAGTTACCAACACCAATGCTTGTGCCAAATGTGCCAGAAGTAAAGAAACCAATGTCTGATCAAGTCACTCAGACACAAGAGTTTGAACAGGAAAGGCTTGTACAAGCAAGTGGATTGTCTTTGTCAGAAAGGTTTCATATTTATAAAAATAATAATACTAATGAGTCTTGTAAAAATTCTAACAATAATGACAGTGAAAATATCTATACACTTAACAATAATTGTAATAGATTGTTAATACTTCGAAACAAGAAATCAAAAGCAGCAATTGACGGAAATACTTTGTTAAGAGAGACAGTGCTAAAAAACTCTTTAAATATGAAAGTTAAAAATTATTCTGATAAAATCTCTCTAAATGAGAAGGCTACTAATTTGTTAAATGAAACTGGAAAGCCTGAAAAATTTGATGAAATAAATCAAATAAAATTAGATGAATCAATTGATACCCCTCCCAAAAAATTAGACAAATCGGATCTCAGACTACTCTTAGTAGCTAAGAAAGGGCAGAAATTAAAAATGGGGGACTCCTGTAAAAGGAAGTCATTGGAAGGTATGCTATTTATTTTAAAACCAGTTTACAATGTAATTATTAAAGTATTGATAAAATTTGTTATTATTAAAATATAGATAGTATCATTACATTACATTTTTTTTGGGGCAAACATGCATGCGGCTCACCTGATGGTAAGTGTCTACCGCCACCCATAAACAACTGCAACACCAGGGGAATTGCAGGTGCATTGCTGGCCTTTTGGAAAGGATTAAGCTCTTTTCTTGAAGGTCCCTAAGCTGTATCGGTCCTAAAATATCGTCAGTGGTAAACATTTCCACAAAGAGGTTTTACGAGGTTTAAATGTCCATGTGGCGTAGTGAGCAATAAATGTTTTCATTCTTTCTTTCTTTCTTTCAAAACTAGTAAAATGTGCAGTGTTGGACCGCCAAGGATTCAGATGATTTGAATAGTATCAAGAGTTTTAATGCTATTTGCGTTCGTGAAATTTGGCGGCTGGAATTAATCCAAACAATTCCTCAGAACACTCCATGATACATGTGATAGAAAATACAAAGGGATGCAACATCCCTGCACATCGCCAATGAATCAGGCTGATCAGAAAGAACTCTGTCATGTAATATAAAATGTTATCGATGCTAGATATTATAATTCTCACATATATCTTTATAATAACTTGTTTATATTCCTAAACTACATTCCTAAACAAAAGGTCTTTTATAAGAATTAAAAGGAGACCAACAACAGTGTTGCTCAAAGTTGCTTATTACACCAAGTACTGGGTGTTGTTTACATTTGTTTTTGATATTTGTTTGTACTAAGTTTTGAGTAAATTAAAGCAGGACCCAAGTTTTGGGTCTCTAAAGCTAGAAACTTTCTGAATCACTTCGAAGATATTTTAGTGATTTATGTGCCTTTAGATTAATCCTGCTCTGAATACAGTGACTTAAATTAATGATAATCTCCCAGTCCTGGAGTATGATTTTTTTTTATAGAACGTTGGTGACAATCAAGCACACAGTCAACCTGATGGTGGTGGATACTGTGGCTCATAGACATTTATCCTCATGGCATGACATGGCTAACATTTATCCTCGATTAAAAATCAAAATGCAGACCCCTAAGGACTAAGATGGAATGCCTCGTTGCCAGTAAAAAGGATCTCCGGTTCTCTACACTCACTATATGAAACACACTACCGTTGAGCTGCTTTTTACGCAGGCATTCATTGAACGCGTGGTCCTACTGTGTTCGAGCCCATTCGCACTGCAGCCATAATGTAGCTGCAGTGTGGCTCCACTATGTAAGAATAATTATGTGCTAACTAGCATGTTAATTTTATCCAATCCTAGGCGATCGGGGGCAGCGTAAAGGATGCGAGACTCGCAATAACGGAACAGGCCCATGTTTATTTTTGGACTTTTATTTTAGTTTAGTTAGTTTGCAACGGGCTGTTTTCCGCAACTCCACGTCTCTGCGCGTATTTTGCGTGTGGGCAGGAATAATGTGATTATTCGAGCCATGAGATCTCCCCGAAGAAGCTCAACAGTCCCTTGATGTTGCATGCAACTTCGGGGGAGTGATCCCGGCGTGCCGAGATGTTTAGCCCTGTACGTAGCGACCTCCGGACATTTCAGTAGCACGTGGGCCGCCGTTTCTTCCTCCCCCATTACTTGCCCTGCACAGGGGACTATCTGTAACACCTATAGTAAATAAATGTTTGTTAAAGGTGCCATGTCCTGTGATAGCACTAGTTACTATCCTGATCTGCGGCTTGTTCAGTCTCATTAGAACTTTGGTTAAGCGACTGTTTATTACAGGTAGGGCCTCCCTAGCTTGTCTACAGTCTATTAGATTTTTCCAAAGCTGAGCGTGTTGATTAGTGAAGTGTCTACGTACCATTGAACGAACGTTACCAAAGGGGATTGGTATGATTGGTTCCGGCCCTATAGTGGCCAGAGCCGATCCTCTTCTGGCCAGTTCGTCCGCTGCATCGTTGCCTCTGGATCCACTGTGTCCCTTTATCCATTGTAGAGTCACATTGTAGTTTTTACATACCTCATTTAATCGTTGATGGCATTCATATATTAGTCCCGAGTTCACCCCATTGCAACTCAGAGCTTGTAGTACCGCCCTACTGTCGGTCAGTATTCTGATGGGGAAGTCATTAACCTTCCTAGCATCTATTGCTATGGCCGCTTGAATGATACCCATACATTCCGCCTGAAAGACCGTGTTATAGGTACCCAGCGGTGTGCATATGTGAATATTGAGGTCTTCAGAGAAAGCTCCAGAACCTACACCTTCCTTTGTTTTAGAACCATCGGTGAAAATTCTAAGCTCTTTTGGGCTTAATCCTTCCGGCTGGCTGTTTTCATTTAATTGTATCTTGTATTTCTTATCGAAAACAAATTGTTTAGGAATCCTATCGTATTTAGCGTGTAGGATAGGAATTTCTGAGTAAATTCTATCAATTATGCCTGTATGAGGGACACTATTCTTACTCCAAAGATTTAGGGTCTTGAGTCTGATGGCAGCTAAAGTCGCTTCTTGTTGTATATGTAGATGAAGCGGAGTTAGCTCCAGCATCGCTTCCAAGGCTGCTGTTGGCGTAGTTCTTATGCAGCCTGTGGCAGCCATACATGCCAGTCTCTGGTAGCGCTGAAGCTTCTTAATTGTGGTGGCTTCATTGGTCTTGGTCCACCATACCAGAGCGCCGTATGTGATCATGGGCCGGATTACAGTTTTGTAAAGCCACAGTATGATTTTTGGCGTCAGTCCCCATCTTTTGCCAATCATGTTTCTGCATTGCCAGAAAGTTATACTAGCTTTGTTGATTTTGTTTTCTATGTTTTTATTCCAGTTAAGTTTGCTGTCCAAGGTAAGACCTAAATATTTTACCTCAGAGGATAGCTGGAGTTTTGTGCTGAAAAGACTTGGAAGATGATAGTTGTTCAGCATCCGTTTTTGTGTGAACATTACTAAAACCGTTTTATTTGGGTTGACGGTTAAGTCGTATTCCCTGCACCATCTCTCCACTATACGGAGAGCCGCTTGGGTCAGGTCGCACACTATGCTAGCTGTCTTTCCCGAGACCAGTATAGTCAGGTCATCAGCATAACCTACTGTATAAAAGTGATTAGTATTTAATTTGCTGATGAGTTCATTAATGACCATATTCCACAGGAGAGGTGAGAGGACCCCACCCTGCGGGCAACCTTTCTTAATTAGGATTGGTTGAGATTCACCAGCAATCTTTATTATTCATGTACTGAGCATGCAAACTATCCAGTCGATCAGTGCCGGTTCAACTTTATGTCTACTGAGTGCACCTTTTATGCTGGAGAAGTTTGTTCTGTCAAAAGCACCTTCTATATCTATGAAGGAACCTAGACATATTTCTTTGTTTTGGATGGCCTCTTCAATCTTAGTAATTACCTGATGAAGTGCCGATTCTGTTGATTTGCCTAGACTGTAGGCGTGTTGCTTGTCGTGTAGTGGTAAGTTCATTAGCGCCGACCCCCCTTAATTCCCTTTCACACATCCTCTCCATCGTCTTTAGGAGAAAGGATGTGAGGCTAATGGGCCTGTAGGATTTAGGGTCAGTGTAATCGCTCTTACCTGGTTTGGGTATAAATGTGATTTTCACTTCCCTCCATCCCCTAGGAACATATTTTAGAGCCAAACAGGCTCTCATTATGGCAACAAGTCTGACTATTAGGGCTTTACCCCCCACTGTAGAAGTGCCGGGAATATGCCGTCAGGTCCTGCCGCCTTATAGGGGAGGAAACTGTGAATGGCCCAATGGATTTTGTCCATCGTTACCACTCTCTGTGCTAAATTCCAGTCTTCTACTGTTGGTGTCAGTATGTCGTCATGCCGGTTTGCCTCCTGGGTTAAGCAGCAACCTGGGAAGTGCGTTTTAATTAGGATGCGTTGGGCTTCATCCGGCGATGTTGAGTAGCTACCGTCGGGTTTCTTTAGAGACATGGATCCCGACGTGTTCTGTTTAGCTAGAATATTCCTTATCCTATTTGCTTGTTTGCAGGTTTCTATGTTGCCACAGAATTTACGCCACCCAGTCGAGCGTCGATACCTGATACATTTTTTGTATTCAGACTTAGCTTTCTTATATAGTAGCCAGTCTTCATCCATTGAGGTATTCATGGCCCTGTTTAGGGCTTTTCTTACCTTCTTGCGTTTCCTATCGAGTTCTACACCCCACCACTGTTGCTTTACCTCGGCATGCCTTGGTGGAGTGATTTCTGGACATGATTCATGGTAGCTATCTATCATGGCCTTAGTAACAGCTGCTACCTGTTCTTCTAGGAGCGACTGATCTGCTATAGTATTTATCCCCTCAGAACCCGCGAGCGAAGACGTCAACTTATTTAGGTATTTTGTTTTATCCGTCTTGCGGGGATTTCTCCATGGTGGTGTAGAGGGGATATCGACCTGTAGTGCGAAGCAGATCCATCTATGGTCTGAGCATGAGGCCTCTTTCGACACATGCCATTCCGTAATTAGTTTGGCTGCTCCTTCTGTTGCAAGTGTGAGGTCGATTATAGTGCGACAGCGTTTGTTTATGAAAGTAGGTTCAGAACCTATGTTTAAAATGGTTAGGTTAGTACTAAATAAAAATTCAACTAAAACCTTACCTCGTTCATTAGGTTTTTCCATTCCCCAAAGGGGATGATGTGCGTTGGAGTCCGTCCCGATCACAACCTCTAGTCCGGTCCTCTCGCAGAAGTTCACCAGCCTGCCGAGGTCATGAGGGGGGAGGAGTGTCTTCCTCCCGCATGTAGACCGAGGCGACGACTAACCTTCTCTCCTGTGTGTATTGTATTGCCACGGCATACATGTCTCTAGAACAGAAATCTGTTAATGGTTGTGCACAGATATCTTTAGTAGTGTAGATACACGCTCTAGGCTTGTCGTGTTCAGAGCTGTAGAATAGCTTACCTTTTAGGTTGTTTAGGCCTTTAATTTTACCAGCCCCAACCCACGGCTCCTGGATTAAGGCTATGGCAGTCTTTTGA